TGAGGAGCTGACTTGGGGGCCTTGGACCTCGTTGGACCCCATCTGGGTTTTCCCACCCTCAGAGTGGGGCTTTCTGTTACAAGGAGTGGGGTTTTCTTTCTGCTTGCTCAGTGTCTGAACCCGGAGGTTTCCTGAGGCTCTGCCTTTTTCAACAGATCAGTCCAGTCTGTTACGAGACTGGTTCGATCTTCTTCTCTAGTCTTTGTATTTGGTCTTTTTGACTTTAGTCTATCACCATAGGGTCTTGGGGTTTTTTTAGCCACAACCACAGCCCGGTTGCCGGACCAACCGGGCTGTGGTGGGTATGTGGGCCTGCGGGCCGCTCCAAGCAACAGCCTGGTGGACCAAACTCTCACAAGTCGAGCCTGGCCTCGGGCCGGGCTTGGGGAGTAGAAGAACTCCCAGAACCCCATCAACCAGGTATCAACCAGGTAACCAGGTACCATCTGTATGGTAATCAGGTGGCTTCTTTGATGGTGTCCCACCTGCGGGCTTCGTCTCAGCAGCAGTATGAAGTTTCCTGGCAGTTCTTCCGGTTCTTTTTCTCTCCATTACTGTACTTCGCTTTTGGTTCAGGTTGTTTTGTCCTTTCTCTGGTGGCAGTTTCAGGACCGTCATCTTATGCCAAATACTGTTGCCTCATATCGTGCAACGTTGGCAGAGCCACTGCAGCTTGCTTTCGTTATTGTTGTTACTTCTGCTCCGTTTTGAAAGCTGTTTTGGGCGTTGCTTCACCTCCTGCCTGCTCATGTGCTGCCTGAGCCATCCTGGTCTTTGGACAGAGTGCTCTCTTTTTTTTGTCTTCTTGATTTGTTGTGGCCTCTTCGGTACAGGATTGTTTTTCTATATAATTTTTTTTTTCATTGGCCTCTGGGGGTCGGCGTTGGGGAGCTTCATGCTCTTCCCAGCGCAGGGGTTTCTGCTCTTTTGGTCGAGGTGATAGGTTCGTTCGTTTGCAGCCGTCTCCTTCTTTTCCGGCGAAGAATGAGACTACTGCTTTCCAGAAGGGTTCTTAGGTTATTGATGCTGGTTGGTCAGGCCGGGGTGCATCATGTGTTGTCTGGTTGCGGCTCTCCACCGTTATTTGCGCGCCATGGTCTCTGTGGGTTGATCCGGTTTCCCTTCTTCCCTGTTCTAGGGTTCAGATCTCTCAGGTCGTCTGCAGGGTTATCGGTTTAGCCAGCCTGCGGGCTATCCCCATGCCCATGACGTTCGTAAGTTTGCTGCATTGGCTGCCGTCTTCGGTAACATGTCCTGGGCTGACATTCAAGCAAGGGGGTTTTTGGAAGTCGAACAGGGTCCTGGCTGCACACTACTTTGTAAATGTTCCTGGGCCTAGTTGGGCTTATGTTGCTTTGGGTCGGCGGTTGCAGCCTGTTGTCTCGACTTCAAGTTGAGGTGTGAGCACCAACTGCCTCCCGGGACTCTAGTTTGTCTTTGGTGATGCAGCTCTGGGGAGTCGAAGGGGCTCCCCCCCCCCCCCCAGAAAACCAGTGTTGAATGTAATGAAACGCCATTTACTGAGTGAGACCCGGAGGCTCCCCAGGAACCTCCCTTCCCCCGGTTGGCGTTTTTTTGGGTGTTTTAACATCTAGCCTTGAACTGGAGGGTGGATCGCCGGTGTGGTGGGTCTGGGGCACCCCCTTCCCCCTCCCAAGGAGGGGGGAGCTGCGCAAACATGTGGCACGGCTTGTGTGATGTCATGTTTGTTTGCTCGTTTTCATTTCGGGAGTTCTATCCACTCGTATGTCCATTTTAGTAGTTTTAACCAGAATAGGGGTTTGTTTTGAGGCGCTTACCTTTCTGGGTGCCTGGCCCAGTCGATGGCAGACACAGAATGCTCCAAATCCCATGTGCATTTGTATAGGCCATTGCTCCTCGTACCTCTCTGAGGGGGCCAGGTTCTGGCTTGTGGTCCCTGGTAGGACTAGAACTCCATTCACACTGATGCCAAAGTCTAATGATATATATATCAGCCTGGATAGCTCTGGAGAGCCTCCGGGTCTCACCCAGAAAATGGCGTTTTATTACATTCTATGCTGGTTTTTTCCGCCTGCCTGTCCTAGGTGGACCCGTCCAGGTCTGGTCAAGCTAAACATCACATGTGCTCCCGACCCTCGTGTTATACCACAGTACCGCACCATTAGTGAAGCATTTTCTTAAATAACTTTTTCTGTTTTCATAGTAACTGATAGTTTTTTGCCACGACTATGTCTGGTAGCAGCAGCAGCAATCATCCTAGAGGTGTTAAGAGGAAGGTTGTGCTGAACACACCAGAGACAACCAAACACAGTTTACTCCTTTTTTCTGTTGACATGCCAATTAATTTTTCATCCAACTGTGTGAATCCAGAAGTTGGAAACGTGTATCAGTACTTGAGGCGAACCAAATGGCTGATCATAAACGAGGCCAATGAACACAAGTGGCAAGCAAAACTCGATTCTTATTTAGTAAAAAAAAAGCAAGCCTTCAACCACTAAAGCCTCACAATCAAGTCAGGGACCTTCAACCAGTGAAGCTTCAGCTGCTGGCAGTCAAAATTGATCATTGCAAGCAAATGTATCGTACAGTAATTTTAGTGTTAGGTTACATAAATTTTCAAGAATTATTGATTTGAAGATACAGTACTGTATACAGTATCAATTGAGAAAATAGACTACAACAAGGTAAGCTGAAGTTTGTTTTAAATTACAGTATTGTATATTTTTTAATTATTGCACATGTGGAAATTCAAATTATGATGTTTGTGGTACAAAAAATTTCAAATATGTTTACTCTTGGACTTCCTCGGTAAAAATTCTGCCTACCTTATCTTGAGATGGTTTCGGGGCTTAGCGTCCCCGCAGTTCGGTCCTCGACCAGGCCTCCTCGTTGCTGGACTGGTCAACCAGGCTGTTGGATGCAGCTGCTCGCAGCCTGATGTATGAGTCACAGCCTGGTTGATCAGGTATCCTTTGGAGGTGCTTATCAAGTTCACTCTTGAACACTGAGGAGTCAGCCAGTTGTGCCCTTTATATATAGTGGAAGCATGTTGAACAATCTCGGGCCTATGAAGTTGATAGTTCTCTCTTGAACACTGTGAGGAGTCGGCCAGTTATACCCCTTATGTGTAGTGGAAGTGTGTTGAACAGTCTCGGGCCTCTGATGTTGGTAGTTCTCTCTCAGAGTACCTGTTGCACTGCTGCTCTTCAATGGGGGTATTCTACACATTCTGCCATGCCTTCTGGTCTCATATGGTGTTATTTCTGTGTGTGCGTTTGAGACCAGCCCCCTCTTACTATTTTCCATGTGTAAATTATTATGTATCTCCCGCCTGTGCTCAGAGATACGTAATAATTTACACGTGGAAAATATTAGAGGGGCTGGTCCCATGATTATCCGAATGTCTGGCTTATCCAGTGAGGGGTCCTTCCAATATAGTTCAGATAAGCCAGCTCATACAGAGTTCTGTGCTGGCTTTACAGTGAGTGTAATTTTACCATTCTTGTTCTGCCATTTGGATGCACAGCAGGTGCCAAACAGTTTGTGTCACACCTGTGGCATTTGTTGTAGCTTCAGTTCTACTGTGGCATTATATCTGGATTGTACCTGGTTGACGTTCTGTGAGCTCTTCTACTCCCCAAGCTCAGCCCAGGGCCAGGCTTGACTTTAAGCTTGATCCAATGGGCTGCTGCTTGGAATGGCCCGCAGGCCCACATATCCAACTACAGCCCAGTTGGTCCGGCAGGAAACTATCCAGTTTTTTTCTTGAAGATTTAAATTTTTGTTCTGGCAACATTTCTTATACTGTATTTGCTCGGAGGATATTGAACAACCGTGGACCTCTCATGTTCATACATCTTAGCATTCGACTGATGTGTTCTGGAAAATTGCAGGTCCCCCTTTTTCTTGGCCTTTTCTCGTTGGTTGTCTTTCTGTTGCCTAATATTATTTGGCTTCATATCCTTAATTTTTGCATTTTTAGTGCCTTCTTATTAGCTTCGTTTTCTTCACCTGCCCCCCCCTTCCCCCCCTGCCCTGCTTCACCCTGACCTAGGTGGTTGTTGGTGCTCTCGCCTTTTTTAATGTTGTGTCTCCAGCTTTCATCCAGCTCCGGGTCGTCTGGTATTCATATCATATGTTGGCAGGCAGTGAGGTATGTCTGTCATTCCACATCTTTGCAACAGTGGGGGGTATTCGCGCAAGTTTCCTCAGTGTTAGGCTACACCCAATCAGCCCAGGTTGATAGCCGAGGCTTAATCTCACAAAGGCAAGTCGTTATTCTTAATTTATTCTTTGATGATATTTCATCTCTCGTGCCTTATTCACCCTTTGTCCTTATGTATTTTATTTTGTCATATAAGGCTGTGTAAGGAAGTTTTGGGGGCCTCCAAGGTGGCACTGAAAATGAAATGATCCTTTGTGGGATGTGTCTGCAGTAGTTCTTCCCTTTCCTATCCTATTCTTCCTTTTTAACTTATATCGATGAGGTTAGCTTGAGCTTGAGTGTGAGAAGTTTACCATGTTGGAGCTCTGGGTGACGGAAGCTCTGGAGAGCTACTGAGGAGTGACACAGAAAGGGAGGTTTCATTATACTCGATGCTTTACTTTGATCCCACTTGAACCAAAAATAATTAATGGTCTTACCCAGTCAAATTACATCATATCAAAGGCATTATTCATAAATGGTTGTACATTTATAATTTGGAAAGTCGGCATAAAAACACAGTACGTTAATTACGTAGTTCTAATAGTGGCATAGCATGTGGACGTTGTCATTATCAGAATCTTTATTCGTAAAAATTTACAACAAATCATTACAATATTGGCTGGACTAAATAGGTGATTGTACACTATGGTTCTATACTGTACATTGAAGTTCTGTTATAATATGCATTTGTGCAATGCACATCAGAATACAGTACAGTGAAAATAAGTGGGACACCACTGTAGTGAATAAGAAATGGGAAATAATGTAGAAACTGTTGTTGATTTTAGTAACATGTATTCCTTTTTCACAGATAAACCTAAGGCTGAATTGGTGGCGGCCTACGAAAGTCGTGTTGAATGTAAGTCAATTGAAGAACTGGAAAGCATTCGGCTTATTTCTGGAACCCTCCACATGGAAAGTTTGGCCATTAGAGAGCGTATTCTTGGGCCTCATAATCCTGAGGTAATTTGGTGTACGAATTTAATACTTGTTGTCGTTTCAATAATTACTTTGCCTTTAGTGCTGTTATATTTGAAGCTGAATGTCACCATCATTGGCAATACACACCTGAGATGCACTAGCTGAAGCTCCTTGGAGCGCCAACCGGCAGGAGAAACTGGGAATCTGGAGTAAAATGCTGAACCCTGTTTAGTTTCCCACTTGCATGGGATGTGGGGCATCAGTTTGAATCATATAGGAGAATAGTATAGAAAATAAAGGTTTAAGGCATATACAATGAGGTTCATGTTATCTTGAGATCTTGAGGTTATCTTGAGATGATTTCGGGGCTTTTTAGTGTCCCCGCGGCCCGGTCCTCGACCAGGCCTCCACCCCCAGGAAGCAGCCCGTGACAGCTGACTAACATCCAGGTACCTATTTTACTGCTAGGTAATAGGGGCATAGGGTGAAAGAAACTCTGCCCAATGTTTCTCGCCAGTGCCTGGGATCGAACCCAGGACCACAGGATCACAAGTCCAGCGTGCTGTCCGCTCGGCCGACCGGCATGTATTCGCTACATATTCCACACTTGGCAACGTTACAGAGAACCAGCATCATTGCAGTCCATCAACTCGATAACAACCTCCCTCTGGCTTATGAGGTTTGCATTCAGTGCACTTTGTGTAATGTTATGAATGAACATTGTCAACCATTGACTCCATCTTTAAATGTTGAGACCTAATGTTCTTCCTATTACTTTTGGTATGCTATTAGTTTTAAGATTCCACATTTTTACATATTCACTGTCTTCCCTTCCGAAAGGCATCTTGTGACTCCCTCGATAAGCAATCTTTTCTGTGGAGAGCCCCGGAGGCTCCTTGGAGTTTATTGGGCTGATATGTATGTATTAGACCATGGAATCAGTCAATTCGATTGGAGTTTTATGCCTACCGGTGACCACGAGCCAGAACCTGGCCCCCTCAGAGAGGCACGAGGGGCAATGGTCTATATAAACCCCCATGTGGTTGGAAGTATTCCATGTCTGCCATCAACCGGGTTAGGGACCCCAAAAAGGTAGGCATCCCAAAACAAACCTCACCTGGTTAAAAATTGCTACCGAAAGGCGAACTATCAAGCAGAACTCCCTATCCGAAAACAAGCAAACGAGCATGATGTCACAGCAGCCGCCGTGCCGCTATCTGCGCAGCTCTCTCCTCCCTGGGAGGGGGGAAGAGGGAGCCCCAGACCCCTATGCCAGCCATCCAACCCCAATTTCGAGGCTGATGTGTTGGGTGGCGGTCGTTCGACTCTGGCTCCTGTCTTTTTGCAGTGCTGTGCCTTTGCAGTGTTGTTCTGCTGTGTGGTGGTGTGAGAGCAAGGAGTAACTCACAGAGTAATGGGGCTGCATGTGCCTAGGGCCCGCTTCCCTAGGTGCCCTGGAAGTACTGCCCTTGCGACTTGGGTTTATCTTCCACAAGTTATTCAGGGACTACCTCCGTAGGGATCTTTTGCAGCTCAATGATTTCCCGCCCTTGGGATCAGCTGAGGTTTTCATATCTGCTGTTTGACCTTGGGTAGGAGGTAGTATGGTCACTGGTAGGGGCGCAAGATACTGTGCAGCTTGTCACCTGTTATCACAGCAGCCGGTTCTGTTCCTCCTGGAGACGTTATACTTTTGTGGGGGGTTTCTTTTTCTTTTTGTTTGTTGCCTGGTGGGGGTCTGCCCCTTAGTCATTGTCCATCCTGTTATTCTGGTGGTCCCCTGCTAGGTCCTCGTAGTTGTATACGTCGCAGGGGGTTCAGCTTTAGTTGTTCTCTTGGTAGTTTGGGCCAACCGGTTAGCAGTACCTTGCCTGGGTTTCCCTTAGCAGTCAGCCATCAGTCTGTGCTTGCTCTCTCCTTGGAATCCGTGTGGGCCCTGACTCTTGGGTTTTTGTCCCTCCCCCCCCCCCCCTTTTTTTTTTTTTTTTTTTTTTTTTTTTTTCAGATTCTGCTGTTGCGCAGTATCTGCAGGCGGCTTTGTCTAGCTGTCACCTTATGTCTGACTTGTTGATTCTCTACTGTGGGTTTTTTTTTTCCAGAAGGGTCATGCCAGGGTTCAGGGTTCCTTTGGTCGTGGCAGGCCAGTCATCACTCTGCATGTCAGTTGGCTTCTCATAAGGGGTGTCGGCCCTTTTGTAGGTCTTCCAATTAACGCGGTGATTGGGGGGGGGGGGGCTCGCACTGTTTTCTCACACCTGGTCCCATGATTTGTGAGCGTTTCGGGTTGTTTCCTTTGGCCTGTGGTGGCATTGGGTGGCTCCTCCTCCTTCGGGGGGTTCGGGGTTCGCAGGGCAGAGCTCTTCTCCTGCACTCTGTCAGGTCATCATGAATTGGTTGCACCTGGGAATATTCTCCCTCCCTCTGGTTGGCGGTATTCACATTTTTTATATTCAACCTCAGAACTGGGGTTGAATGATTGGCACAGGGGTCTGGGGCTACCCCTTTACCTTCCCATGAAGGGAGAAGCTCTACAGACAGCGGCACGGCGGCGGTTGTGACTTCATGCTTGATTGCTTGTTTTCGGATTGGGAGTTCTGCTTGATAGTTCAGCTTTTGTTCACAATTTTTAACCGGGTGGGGTTTGTTTTGGGACATCTACCTTCCTGGGTCCCTAACCCGGTTGAAGGCAGACATGGAATGCTTCCAACCACATGGGGGTTTCTTTAGGTCATTGCTCCTCATGCCTCTCTGAGGAGGCCAGGTTCTGACTCGTGGTCCCCAGTAAGCATAGAACTCCAATTGAATTGAATGATGCCACAGTCTAATACATACATATCAGCCTGGTAAGCTCTGGGGCACCTCCGGGACTCAGCTGGTAAAGAAAGGGCCACTGCATTCAACGCCATTTTTTTTTTTTTTTTAATTTGTTGACACTTTTGCACCCATTGACAGGATAAATTCATTTATTCTTAGGTATCTTATTTCCAGAAATTGGTTGCTTGGTGTGCAAAAAGTAATGTATGAATAACAACACAATTTTAGTGTTGTTTGACAAATGGTTATAGTAAGCTGTGTGCTATTGAAGTCAAGAATGATGATGTTATTGCTGAAATGACCGAAATTTATGGGTATATTCTATATTGATGCTAATTTAATGGTTTTGTTTTGCAGGTTCCCCATCCTGTAATATTTAGAGGAGCTGTGTTTGCTGACAATGCCCGTTTTGACAGATGCTTACAGCTGTGGATGCACGCTCTAAGATTAAAACAACTTAATAAAGTATGCGTTATGAAGGATCTTCTGAGATTTGCGCAGGTGACTACTATATGTATATGTAGGTGATGGTTCAGCCTGTCCTCTCGAGTTACCACAACAGACAGAAAATTGTGAATTTTGACATTCAAACCTAATCTGACCAACCTATCTTGAGTTACATCATGCAAAGAAAACATGAATATTTGTGATTTATAGTTTTGTCCACTGGATTTTGACATCAAAATGCGATGTACGAATCGAGAAGACACGTTGTATGGTTACTGCAAAGCTAATTATAACAACAGTTATAATTAGGCTGTGCATAGAATATCGCAAATTCTATGCGATATTCAAATCCAAATTCAAATCCATGGTTGAAACAAATAACTCAACCCACACATATGAAATTAAATGAAAGTGACAAAGTTTCAGTCTGTCGTGGACCAATATCAAGTTGTCTCATTTTGTCACTTTCATTTTGCATATGTGGGTTACATTATTAATTAGGCTATATTGTGTTGAGTAATATTGGTAATATATTCGTCACATGAAATGGTTATTTTTCATTGAGTTATATTGAAACGTGGAGCGTGATTGTATGGAGAAAAGATGGGAAGCATTCTTTATATATTTCTCATGTCTACAGGTAACCTTGTTTCAGCAAACTTCTGTTTTGTACTTTTGTACAAAACCGGTCCATCTTGTACTCTCTGAGAGAGAATCACAGAGTAATCCCTCATTTTCTGAGAGCCCCCATGAGCCACACCGGAAACCACAAGCCAGAACCTGGCCCGCTCAGAGAGGCACAAGGAGCAATGGCCTATAGAAGCCCCCATGTGATTAGAAGCATTCTATGTTTGCCATCTATTGGGTTAGGCACCCAGTTAGGTAGGCATCCCAAAACAAACCACAGCTGATTAAAAATTGTGACTGAAAGCCGAACTAGCAAGCAGAACTCCCCAAACCGAAAAAAGCAAACAAGCACGACATCACTTTCGCTGCCATGCCCCAGTCCCCCCACGCCAGTTCTGAAGCTGATGTGTTGAGTGGTGGTCGTTCGACTCTGGCTCCAGTCTTTGAGCAGTGCTGTGCCTTGTGGTGTTGTGCTGCGGTGTGGTGGTGTGCGAGCCAGGTGTAATTCCAGAAGTACTGGGGCTGTATGCCTAGGGTCACCTTCCCTAGGTGTCCTTTAAGTACTGCCCTTGCAGTTTGGGGTTACCTTCCATAGACTTTTTGGGGACTACCTCCACAGGGTTCTTTTGCTGCTCGGTGACTGGTGGCCGGCCCAGCCTTGGTTTCAGGCGCTGCTTGCTCGGTGTACGAACCCAGGGTTCTTTCCGTGGCTCCGCCTTTTTCAGCAGATTAACAGATTAGCAGATTAACAGTCTCCGTGGTGTAGTGGTAAGACACTCGCCTGGCGTTCCGCGAGCGCTATGTCATGGGTTCGTATCCTGGCCGGGGAGGATTTACTGGGTGCAATTCCTTAACTGTAGCCTCTGTTTAATGCAACAGTAAAATGTGTACTTGGATGAAAAAAACGATTCTTCGCGGCAGGGGATCGTATTCCAAGGACCTGCCCGAAACGCTACGCGTACTAGTGGCTGTACAAGAATGTAACAACTCTTGTATATATCTCAAAAAAAAAAAAAAAAAAAAAAAAAAAAGATTGGTTTGGTCCTGTACGTGGCTGGTTCGATGTTCTCCGATCTTCACGTCTGGTCTTTCTGACAAGGGTTTATCACCACTTGTATGGTGATCAGGTTGCTTCGTTGATGGTGTCCCACCTGCGGGTTTTGTTTTGGTGCAGTATGAAGTTTCCTGGCGGTCCTTTCGTCACTTTTTGTCTCTTTGTAGGTTGTCTTTGATTTCTGATAAGGTTGTTTTGTCTTTTCTCTCTTGGATGTTTCAGGACCGTCATCTTATGCTGAATACTGTCGTCTTGTATCATGTGATGCTGGCGGAGCCGCTTCAGCTTGCATTCGGGGTGGATTTCACGTCTGCTCCATTCTGCGAACTATCTTGTGCGTTGTTTCACCTCCAGGCTACTCATGTGCCACCTGAGCCGTTCTGCTCGTTGGACTGGATGCTCTCTCTTCTCTCTCCTCCTCGGTTTGTGGTGGCCCCTTCGGTTCAAGATTATTTTTCTAAGGCTCTTTTTCTTGTTGACATTGGCCTCTGGGGGTTGGGTTGGGGAGCTTCATGCTCCCCTTCAGCGCAGGGGTTTCTACTCTTTCGGTCCTGGTGGTCGGTTTGTTCATTTGTAGCCATCTCCTTTTCTGGCGAAGAATGAAACTGCTGTTTTCCGGAGGGGTTCGTGGGTTGTTGATTTGGTTGGTTTGGCAGGGGGTGCATCATACCTTGTGTCCGGTTGCGGCTCTTTGCTGTTACTTGCAAGCCACGGCCTCGGTGGCTGGGGACGTGCTTTGGGTGGACCCAGTTTCCCTTTTTCACTGTTTCAGGGTTTGCATCTTGCAGGTCGTCCTCAGGGTTATTCGGTCCAGCCAGCCTGCGGTCTATCCTTGTGCCCACAATGTTTGTAAGTTCGCGGCTTTGGCTGCTGTTTTTGGTAACATGTCCTGGGCTGACATTCGGTCTTTGTCAGTTGAACAGGGTCCTGGCTGCATGGTACCTTGTTAATGTTCCTAGCCCTGTTTGGGCATGTATATCCTTGGGGTCACAGGTTGCAGCCAGTTGTCTCGACTTCAAGTTGAGGAGCGAGTGGCGACCGCCTCCGGGGTAAGTCCCTCTTTTTATTGTCTTTGGTTAGGTAGTTCCGGGGAGCCGGAGGAGGCTCTCCACACAAAACCAGCGTTGAATGTAATGAAATGTCATTTTTTTGGGTGAGTTTTAGAGGCTTCCCGGCAACCCTCCCTCCCTATGGTCGGCATTTTTTTCTCGTTTTTGATATCCAGCCTCTGAACTGGGGTTAGTTAGCCAGCATGGGGGGTCTGGGGCTCCCCCTTACCCCTCCCAGGGAGGGAGAGAGGAGCTGTGCAGACAGCGGCACGGCGGCAAAGTGACATCATGCTTGTTTGCTTGTTTTTGGTTTGGGGAGTTCTGCTTGCTAGTTCAGCATTTGGTCACAATTTTTAACGAGCTGTAGTTTGTTTTGGGATGCCTACCTTTCTGGGTGCCTAACCCGGTAGATGGCAGACATAGAATGCTTCCAACAACATGGGAGTTTCTATAGGCCATTGCTCCTCGTTCTTCTTTGAAGGGGCCAGGTTCTGGCTTGTGGTCCCCGGTAGGCATAGAGCTCCAATCGAATTGACTGGTGCCATGGTCTAATATATACATATCAGCCCGGTAAGCAGCTCCAGGGAGCCACTGGGACTCTCCCAGAAAATGGTGTTTAATTACATTCAACTTTTTTTTTTTTTTTTTTGACACTGTTGCACCCATTGACAGGATCAAGTCATTTATTCCTAGGTATCTTACTTCCACAAATTGATTGCTTGGTGCTCAAAAAGTAATGTATGAATAACAAGACAATTTTAGTGTTGTTTGACAAATGGTTATAGTAAGCTGTATGCTATTAAAGTCAAGTATGATAATAAAAATGAAAATGAAATATGTGAAACATTAAACGAAAAGTTCCAAAGTGTGATTGTACAAAATGAAATCTTCAGGGAACCAGACACAATAAGAATTCCAGAGAACAACATAGAGCACAAAGAGGTGTCTAGAGACGAAGTGGAAAAAATGCTCAAGGAGCTAAGTAAGAACAAAGCATTTGGTCAAGATGGAGTTTCACCATGGGTTCTGATAGAATGTGCACCTCAGCTCAGCATTCCACTTTAACTGATTTTTCAGGCATCCCTGTGTACAGGAGTTGTAGCTGATGTGTGGAAAAAGGCTAACATAGTTCCAATCTACAAAAGTGGCAGCAGAGAAGACCCCTTCAATTATAGACCTGTATCATTGACAAGTGTAATAGTCAAAATATTGGAAAAAATATTAAAACTAAATGGGTAGAACACCTGATGAAAAATTATATAATATCAGACAGTATGATTTTCAATCTGGAAGATCCTGTTTAACGAATTTACTCAGTTTCTATGATCGATCCACAGAGATTTTACAGGAAGAGATGGTTGGATTGACTGCATCTATCTGGACCTAAAGAAAGGCTTTTGACAGAGTTCCACATAAGAGGTTGTGCTGAAAACTGGAACATTTTGAAGGGGTGACAGGTAAGCTTCTAACATGGATGAAAAATTTCCTTACTGATAGAAAAATGAGGGCCGTAATCAGAGGCAATGTATCGGATTGAAGGAATGTCACAAGTGGAGTACCACAGGGTTCAGTTCTTGCACCGGTAATGTTCATTGTTTACAAAAATGATATTCCAGATGGAATACAGAATTATACGAACATGTTTGCTGATGATGCTAAGACAATAGGGCAGATAAGAAACCTAGATGATTGTCATGCCATTCAAGAAGACCTGGACCACTTGGCAAATGGAATTTAATGTGAATAAATGCCATGTTATGGAATGTGGAATTGGAGAACATAGACCCCACACAACCTATAAATTATGTGAGAAATTTTTAAAGAATTCTGACAAAGAAAGGGATCTTGGGATGGTTCTAGATAGAAAACTATCACCTGAGGACCACATAAAGAACATTGCGCGAGGAGCCTATCTTGAGGTTATCTTGAGATGATTTTGGGGCTTAGTGTCCCCGCGGCCCGGTCCTCGACCAGGCCTTCTTTTTGTTACACACCCCTAGGAAACATAAGCCCATAGCAGCTGTCTAACTCCCAGGTACCTATTTACTGATAGGTGACTGGGGCATCAGGGTGAAAGAAACATTTTGCCCATTTGTCTCCGTCTCCACCGGGAATCGAACCCGGAACCTCAGAACTACGAATCCGAAGTGCTGTCCACCCAGCTGTCCGGCGCCCTATGCTACACTTTCTAACTTCAGAATTGCTTTTAAATACATGGATGGAGAAATACTAAATGAATTGTTCATGACTTTTGTTAGAACAAAGCTGGAATATGCAGCGATTGTATGGTGCCCATATCTTAAGAAGCACATCAACAAACTGGAAAAGATGCAAAGACATGCCACTAAGTGGCTCCCAGAACTGAAGGACAAGAGCTATGAGGAGAGGTTAGAGGCATTAAATATGCAAAAACTAGAAGATAGAAGAAAAAGAGGTGATATGATCACTACATACAAAATAGTAACAGGAATCAATAAAATTGATAGGGAAGAATTCCTGAGACCTGGAACTTCAAGAACAAGAGGTCATAGATTTAAACTAATGAAACAAAGCTGCCGGAGAAATATAAGAGAATTCACTTTTGTAAACAGAGTGGTAGACGGTACAAGTTAGGTGAGAAGGTGGTAGAGGCCAAAACCGTCAGTAATTTCAAGGCGTTTTATGACAGAGTGCTGGGAAAACGGGACACCATGAGCGTAGCTCTCATCCTGAAACTACACTTAGGTAATTACATGCGAGACACCTCAACCTTAGGACTCCTTAATAGCCTACTGGAGACAGAGCCAGAACCTGGCCATCTCACAGGGAAGCAGGGGGGATTGGTACGATCCTCCTCACCAAGGAAACATCTAGAAAATAAGAGAAGTAAAAGACAATTGCCAGATCCACAGACAAATAAAGAAATGAAGTAGCAAGTGACTGCCAATGTCTTGCTCAGCAGTTAGGTGGAACTTACCCACCACCCTCGCTTCGGGCTAGCCATAACCAAGCGGCAGCACCATCGGAAGCTCTCTCTCTCCCCATGTCATTAGAGTCCTGTTGTTGATGATCCTGTGAGGATTGCTATGACGAGGTTTGAATCCTCGTCACGGTCCATGTGGATTTGTTCATTGATGCATCACGCTATTGTGATTTCTGTGTGTAATTGCTATGTTCTACATGTTCTTTGATGCAAATAACATTATTGACAGCCTGAGGCATCATTTGCATTTGAAAACACAATAGCAAATACATTACAGATATATAGAATATATAACATATTCAATGCGTGTGCAGTTACAATTTCTCGCTAAACATGCAAAACTAGGATATTATTATTACATTGTGTCTGTGTGTGCCAGATATCTTCTCTGTATTCCTTCTATTTCAGCAATATCTCCTGCTCTAAAGGGAGAAGTGAGTATGGAGCAGTATTTAAGATGGGACAGCACAAGTGATTTGAATTTTTATAAGCAATGCATGGGATCCCTGGATTTGTAGGTTCTCATAATCCATCGTATCTTTTTCTAGCTAATGATGTATTTGCTTGGTTATGCTCCCTAAACATTAGGTCGTCACTTATCGTTATTTCTAGATCCTTAACATGTTGCTTTCCTACTATGGGCAGATTTGGTTGTGATTTGTACCTTGTAATTTTCTTACGTTCTTCATTTTTACCATACCTAAGGACTTGGAATTTATCACTGTTAAACATGTTACTTCCTGCCCAATTGAAAACTTTATTAATACTGTATTAGGTTTTAGTTTTAAGTGTCTTCTACAGAAGCAATTTTCATGCTGATTTTTGTGTCATCTGTAAAGATGATACGAAGTTGTGACTTCTATTTTTGTCTATATCCAGCCCATCCTCCTGTTTACATGTACCACTTCCAGAGGAGAATGTGGAGCTCCCAAACCCGACAACTGGTTGCTAGGGCCAACAAAAATAGAGCTTTAACCCTTGGGCTGTGCACATATTAATAGCTGATAACCCCCAGATGCACAAGAAAATAAATATACAATCCTTGATCACAGAAAAAAAAAAAAAGTTAATTGATTGACAGTTGAGAGGCGGGCCGAAAGAGTCAGAGCCCAACCCTCGCAAGCACAACTAAGTGAATACAACTAGTGAATACATGTCCATACAACTAAGTGAATACATGTCCAACCCATGCTTGAAACAATCAAGGGACCCTACCCCCACCACGCCACACGGCAATTGGTTCCACAAATTAACCACACTCCTCCACACACACACAAGAACCAGCACCCCCTCCCCCATCAAATCCAAACTCATCCAACTTGGACCCATTGTTTTGTATTCCACCCCGTGTCGACGCTTTTAATACCCCATCAACATCCTCTTTGCTCTGCCCACCTACGACAGTATGCCAATTGACAGTTTACTTTTACTGTCAATTGTGGGGTGTATTTGGTGAAGAGATTGCTAGAAAAAATATATATGTCAAATTGGCATTTAGTTAATGCAGTATAAAGGATATAAATGTTTTTATTGGATTAGAACATGAGTTTCAGTATTAATAATTGCATTTAATTGCAAACACATTATTATCCACTTCTCTTCAGGTTTTTTCGCAAATGTTGCATGTTGGCGTGCAGTTGGAGTTTGATGCCGTACACGAGGTGTTGGGTGCTACTGTTCTAGAACTAAAGAGAAATCAAGAAAAGATACAGAATCCAGGTCCTAAAGATGACGTAGAAACAGTTAAGGTAAGTAATACACACACCTTTTCTGTGGGGGAGCCCCGTCGGCTCCCTGAAGCTATCCAAACTGATATGTGCTATATTAGTTTGAGGTCATCAGTCACAGGAGTCCTTTTGCCTACTAGGGTCTACGAGCCAGAACCTGGCCCCCTCAGAGGCGCAGGGAGCAATGGCCTATGAGCACTTTACATTTAAAGTTTGCCATAATTGCCATTGACCGGGAAGGACCCAGAAAGGGAGGCAAATCAAAACAGACCACTGTCTGGTTAACCTGTGCACTCTTCATCCGAAAATACCAAAATAACTCCTCTAGAAAGAAAACCAGACAAGCAACCCTTCATGTGACTAGTACTTCCACTCAATAGTGTTACCCCGCTCCCCACTTCTCGGTGATGAGGGGTAACCTCATCACTGCCTCCTGCATTCCCTTTCCTTCCTACTATGCCTCTGGACATGTTCTTTTTCATGTCTGAGGCTCCTTTGGGCACTCGGTTTCCACCTATGTCCCATTATGGGGGTGTACCAGTCGTATTGCTTCATTCATTTTTTATACCCTGTCCGTTTCCCTGAGGAATTGTAGGTGGTGGTCATGTCTCCCAGTCTAGTGTTCCTGGGGCTGTCTTGTCTTGTGTACGAGACTGTGGTACTTCTGTGTATTATTATCTCAGTCTTGTATTTACGGACTGTGGTCATTGGCTTGTTTTCATTGTTTTATTATGGGCACCGATTTTGTTGCTAACGACCTTGCCTTGTATGCTCGTCTGGTTCCCTAGCCTCTGGTGCTCAGTATCCTGTCCATATTATGGCTGTTTTAGCCATGGGGCTTATTTTTATCTGAAGGAAAAAATTTATTTTTAATTAACATTGTGCGTCTTATCTGCTGGCAAATGTGGTAGGTAGGTCTTCACACCCTGGTTCGTTTCAAGGTATCCTTGGGTTCCTCGGATTCGTCTTTTGGAGGTTTTCTTTCTCTGGGCGTCTCCTTGCTGAGGTCTGGGAGGCCCTTGGCGCGTACTGCCTGTGAGACCCGGTTTATGCCTCTGTATTGGATCCAGTTTGTTTGAGTTCAGTTCCTCTTACACTGTTTGGGTGCGTCTTCAAGGTTTTGGTGTCTTCCTGGCTGGCAGTCTGCCTCGACAACTGGTTGGTGTGGGTTCCCTGCCGGTCTGCTTGTCTGCTAGCTGGGGTTCTGGTTCTTTTCCAGCTTGCCGGATTTGGATTCCTGGTAACTCGGTGGAAATCCCACTTGGTTCCGTCTCGGGTTTGGGCTTGGCTTGGCCTAGGCTTGGCCTAGTGTGGGGTTCTCGGGCTGCGTCTGTTTCTTTCCCTTGTGCGGTTTTGCTTCGGTTGCGGTCCCACCTTCAACTGTTGAGGGGTATCTGGGTCATTCAGCTGTGCGGGAACCTGCACTTTGCCCTGCTGGTTTATCCACTGGGCAGGGTTTGGCTTCGGAGGCTGTTCTGGTATCTTCGAAACGGCATCTTTTGACGCTCTCACATTCGCTGGGTTCATTTCCCGGTGTCCTTGCATTGGTTGCTGTGTCTCTGGCTTCCTCTTCGGAGTTTTTGAGGTTTGGTGCCTTGGCCCCTTTCTCTTCTCCTCGCTTGACGTGTTCGTGGATGCCTTGTATCTCAGTTGGGGATTTATGACCAGCGCTCGTTCAGCCGGACAGGGGTGTTGGGCACCGTCCTTCCTTCGAGCTTACAGCATGGTGTGGAACGTTACGACTGTGTGGCAGGTGCTGCACCGGATCTGGCTACGGCTTCCTCGGGGCTTGGTGATCTGGCTCAATTTGGACTGCTCACCCATGGTTCATTGTCTTAAGTGAGGGAGGGGGGTGTCTCTTCGGTCTGTGGCTTTGGGCTGATCGCTTCAGGTAGTTCTTCTGCCAAGTTCTTAGTAATTACATAAGTGATTACCTAAGTGTAGTTACAGGATGAGAGCTATGCTCGTGGTGTCTTGTCTTCCCAGCACTCTGTCATATAACGCTTTGAAACTACTGACGGTCTTGGCCTCCACCACCTTCTCACCTAACTTGTTCCAACCGTCTACCACTCTGTTTGCGAAGGTGAATTTTCTTATATTTCTTTGGCATCTGTGTTTAGCTAGTTTAAATCTATGACCTCTTGTTCTTAAAGTTCCAGGTCTCAGGATATCTTCCCTATCGATTTTATCAATTCCTATTACTATATTGTATGTAGTGATCATATCACCTCTTTTTCTTCTGTCTTCTAGTTTTGGCATATTTAATGCCTCTAACTTCTCCTCGTAGCTCTTGCCCTTCAGTTCTGGGAGCCACTTAGTAGCATGTCTTTGCACCTTTTCCAGTTTGTTGGTGTGCTTAAGATATGGGCACGACACAACCACTGCATATTCTAGCTTTGGCCTAACAAAAGTCGTGAACAATTTCTTTAGTATATCGCCATCCATGTCTTTAAAAGCAATTCTGAAGTTAGAAAGCGTGGCATAGGCTCCTCGCACAATATTCTTTATGTGGTCCTCAGGTGATAGTTTTCTATCTAGAACCACCCCTAGATCTCTTTATCAGAATTCTTTAAAGATTTCTCACATAATATATAGGTTGTGTGGGGTCTATGTTCTCCTATTTCACATTCCATAACATGGCATTTATTAACATTAAATTCCATTTGCCAAGTGGTGCTCCATATAATTATTTTGTCCAGGTCATCTTGAAGGGCATGACAATCATCTAAGTTTCTTATCCTTCCTATTATCTTAGCATCATCAGCAAACATGTTCATATAATTCTGTATACCAACTGGTAGATCATTTATGTAGACATTAAACATCACTGGTGCAAGAACTGAACCCTGTGGTACTCCACTTGTGACATTTCTCCAGTCCGATACATTGCCTCTGATCACTGCCCTCATTTTTCTATCAGTCAGAAAATTTTTCATCCATGTTAGAAGCTTACCTGTCACCCCTCCAATATTTTCCAGTTTCCAGAACAACCTCTTATGTGGAACTTTGTCGAAAGCCTTTTTTAGGTCCAGATAGATGCAGTCAACCCAACCATCTCTTTCCTGTACTATCTCTGTTGCTCGATCATAGAAACTGAGTAAATTCAATACACAGGATCTTTTAGATCGAAAACCATACTGTCTGTCTGATATTATATCATTTCTCTCCAGGTGTTCTACCCATTTAGTTTTAATTATTTTTTCCAATATTTTGACTATTACACTTGTCAATGATACAGGTCTATAATTAAGGGGGTCTTCCCTGCTTCCACTTTTGTAGATTGGAACTATGTTAGCCTTTTTCCACACATCAGCTACAACTCTGTTTAGCTCTCCGTGCTGCTCACTTTCAGGATGTGTCCAAAGTCCTGGCAGGTGGCCCGTCATGCTTCATTCCTCTTTCCACGGAATGGACGATCGCCAGCGCCTTCTTCCTCCTGGTTTGTCAGACATACGGGTGCCCAGAGGTGGACCTCTTCGCAATGGCGTGGTCTCGGCATCTCCCATTGTATGTGGGGCTGTTACCCAACTGTGAGGCCTCGTGGTGGATTCTTTTTGGCAGGACTGGTCGAGGTGGGGTTCCTGTTCCTCTTTCCCCCTGGTCCAGCTGTTGCTCCGTGTTCTGGCTCGGCTGGATTCATATTGGGGGTAAGTGGTTCCACAGTCCATTGTGGCTGGCTCGGCCTTGGTGTCAGGTGCTGCTTGCTCTGTCCAAACCCGGACATTTTTCTGTGGCTCCGCCTCTTTCAGCAAGTCTGATCAGTGAGGTATCTCGCTTCTTTGCCTTACTGCTCTGCACTACGTGTGTGGCCTTTCTGGCGCGTGTGTATCACCATTTGTATGGTGATTAGGTGGCTTCTTTGATGGTTTCCCACCTATGTTCTTCTCAGTGACAGTATGTAGTTTCTTGTCGGTCTTCCTGTCATTTTCTTTCTCTTAGTCAGTTTTCGTTGATTTTGGACCAGGTTGTTTGTCCTTTCTCTCTTGGCATTTTCTGGATCAGCATCTCATGCCTCTTACTGTCGTTTCTTATTGCAAGGCGTTGGCAGAGCCTCTCCAGCTTGCTTTTGGGGTGGATGTTGCTTCCATTTCGTTCTGCAAGCTTTCATTTGCATTTTTTCACCTTCGGCCTGCTCATGCGCTGCCTGAGCCTTCTTGGTCTTTAGACTGTGTTTAGACTTGCTTTTCTTTCTTCTCCTTGCTTTGTTTTGGCCCCTTCATTTCAGGAAGGCTTTTGGAAGGCCTTGTTTTTGTCGGCCTTGGACTCTGGGGGTCGTGTTGGGGGAGCTTCATGCTCTCCTCCTCCGATGGGGGATCCTGTACGTTTGGTCCCGGTGGTCGTTTTGTTCGTTTGCAGCCTTCTTCTTTTCTGGTGAAGAATACGGCAGGCTTCCAGAGGGATCCGTTGGTTGCTGATGCTTGGTTGATTAGGCCGGAGGTGCATCACATGTTGTGTCCGGTGATGGCTTTACACCACTACCTGCGGGCCACTGGTTCAGTGATGATGGACACTCTTTGGGGTGGATCCAGTTTCCCTAGTTTTCTGTTCCCGGGCTCGTGTGTCTCAGGTAGTCCACAGTGTCATAAAGTCCAGCCAGCTTGCGGTCTACCTCGTGCTCATGACATACGGAAGTACGCTGTACTCGCCGCGGTTTTTGGAAACATGTCTTGGCTTGCATTCGGACATGGGGGTTTTGGAGGTTGAACAGGGTCCTTGCTGCCAGATATCAAGTGAACGTTCCAGGCCCTCTCCATCCTTGTGTAGCTTTGGGGCGTATGTCGCGGCCGTCGGTCTCTTCTTCGACTTGAGCCCTGTGGTGCTGCCGCCTCCCAGGTAAGTCCGTTTTTCCTTATCTTGGTAGTTAGCTTCAGGGAGCTGACAGGGTGATCATGGTCATCGAACAAAGTCATCAGGTGTTGCGTCCGGTTGTGGCTCTGCGCCATTACTTGTGCACCTTGGCTTCTGTGGTCATGGACACAGTTTTGGTTGATCCGATTTCCCTTGTTCCTTGTTCCAGGGCTCGGGTCTCTCAGGTCGTCTGCAGGGTTATTAAATCTAGCCAGCCTGAGGTCTACCCTTGTGCCCATGATGTTCATAAGTATGCTGCTCTGACCACTGTGTTTGGGAACATGTCTCGGGCTGACATTCAGGCACGGGGGTTTTGGAGGTTGAACAGGGTCCTGGCCGCCCATTATTTGGTGAATATTCCTGGCCCCAGTCGTTCATGTGTTTCCTTGGGTCACAGGTTGCAGCCAGTTGTCTCATCTTTGGGTTGAGGCATGCGCTGTGGCCACCTCCCGGTTAAGTCCCTTTTTTACTTATCTTTGGTTATGTAGCTCCAGGGAGCCAAAGGGGCTCCCTAAGGAAACCAGCATTGAATGTAATGAAATGCCATTTTCTGGGTGAGCCGCGGAGGCTTCCTGACACCCTTCCTCTCTCCGGTCCGCGGTTTTGTTTTGTTTTTGATGCTTAGCCTCCGAACTGAGGTGTGGGCAGCCAGCGCAAGGGTCTGGGGCTGCCCCCTTCCAGAGGTGGGGAGAGCTGCGAGGACAAGCTATGTAGTTGTGGTGGATGACTATTGCTTGTTAACTTCTTTCCTTTGTTTTCTTTTGGCGAGTTCTGTTTCTCTGTTCGGTCTTGGGTTTTTTGCAATTTCCTACCAAGTGGGGTTTGTTTTGAGATGTCTACCTTTCTAGGTGCCTAACCCTGGTTGATATCAGACATGGCATACCATGAAAGACAAAGGGGGGTTTCCTTAGGCCATTGCTCCCTCGCCTCTCTGAGGGAGCCTAACTCTCTGAGGCTAGTGGTCCCCGGTAGGCAGAATGCCACTGACTGAAGCCCCAGACTAATATAGCATATATCAGTCCGATAGCTCCAGAGAGTCAAAGGGACGTCCCACTGAAAAAAAAAATCAAATTGGGTTTTGAGATTTGAATATTCCTGCCAAAAATTTAGCATCAAATACTCACTAATATCTGTTTTATTATATGGTGTACTTTGTATATACTTTCCTATGATTTGTATTTAATTAATTTGATTGTTTTAGGTTCATGTTGGCAAATCACCATTATTGCCAAAATCTTTTTGGTAGTCGAGGGAACTTGATTAAAAATTTTCTTTTATAATTGACATTTCTTTAAAATGAAGCTCAAATGTACCTAATAATTTAGGCTATTTAATGACAATAATAGTGTAACAAAAATTGAAAAGTAGCCACTAAAATGATCTGGGCTCCTTGAAGCCTTTTCTCAATATTTATGTAACTAATTCTTCTGTTTGTGTGCAGGATGAAATGGAAAGTAACATGATCACAGCTCTTTACCTGATCATGATTGCAATGTGTGTGGCGAAGGGTCGTTCAACATCTCAACATGGTGGTGTTGCAAATGGCGGTGTTGGAGGAAATAATGGTATTGGGGGACTTAATGGAGGCATTGGAATTGCGGGGTTTGCAATTCGTAGTGTAGATGGAGATTCCGTGAGACAGTCTCCTCAGCACTTAAATCAGGTCGTGGAGAAAGAATCTCAAGTACATCACACTGTTTATGGGTATGTTGGACAAATCTATATCATAACATTATGAATGTTTTGAAATATTTTTCTTTCTGGAGTGGTTATTAAGAATATTTAAAGCATTTTGATAATGTAATGTTACATGTCATTACAGCCTTGTTCGAGTTGAAGCAAGAACGCGCTCTGGACAAACCTTGCTGCATCTTGCGGTCAATCCAGAAACCCCAGTTGATGACTTCCACACAAATCATATTTGCAGGTAGAGTAGTTGGATCAATATTGTGAGTAGTAGTCTGAAAAATATCTGAAAGAACTTCAGTTACTTATTCATTTACTTATTACCTTAATACTTATTACTTTAGTTACTTATTACCTCTTCATACTTATTCATATGCACACACTTGTCAAAATTTATTGATTGAATTGGCTATGATTACCAATGCATAATGTGTCAACCAAAATATAAAGGGTTGAATATAATGAAATGCCCCCTCTCTGGTTGGCTTGGTGTAGCTTCTAATGCTTGTACACTGGTACAGTACTACCAAACCTTAGCTCCACATACCAGGTCTTGGAGACCCATCCATTGCCTATTGGAGGCAATGAGCCAGAATCTGGCTCATTTTTTTAAAGTGAGCAAAGCCTGAGGATTGGACATGAACTCAAAATCAGATTAAAATCCACCAGAAAGCACAGGCACAGCAAAACGGCAATCGTTTGAAGGAAATTATGTAACCCCAGTTAAGACCCACAAGTGGTCACTGCTGCAGGATACACATCCTAACTGATTTGCCTGATCATTATTGGATGGTAACCTGGTCACTCACTGTCCCAGCTATCTTATCTGCTCACTTGGAAACCATCCATGCCAAAACTTTCCCAACTCTATGAGAAAGAAGGAACAGAACCGGGATGGGGTTCCCACCTTCCTCCTTGGGTTCTTTGGGCCCCACCAGAAAAAAATGACAGGAGAAAGAAGGCTGAAAAGACTGCATCTTCCTTAACTTTCAAATAGCATTTAATTTTGTTTGTCATAATAGGTTAGTTTATATGGTGAAGAGACAATATTGGATAAGTGAAAGAACACTTGAGCTGGATAAAGGAGTACCTAACAAATGGAAAATAAAAGGTCATAGTGAGAAAGGTTTTAAGCTGGAGGGATGTGACAAGTGTGAGATTAACTATGGATTGGTCATGTGCCATTACTGTATGTGTTGGAACTCAATGTGTCTCAGGATAGATATATTCAAGTTATATTAATCATGTATGTCACTAGCATGTACCAGTCCTCCTACAATGAGGGTACCAGCTTGGCAGGGAACACAAGGGATAATCTAAACATAGCTAGAAGTTAATCCATATACTGTATATATATACATATATATATATACATACACACAATATACAATATTGTGTATATATATATTGTGTACAATATATTGAATATTTACACCAGCCTACACCACCACCTAGAGTCACAAACCGTGATCCACATGAGCATCCAATGTCACATCCTAAATCCTAATATCATTAATCTCTAAATCTCTGATCTCTAGAGATTTACCTTTCTCAAATCACCAGCCAAATGGAGGCTGGTGATTTGACTCGGGAAACAAACTCACAGAATTCATCACGAGATGTCGGCTGGCTACTCGGCGAGTGCGAGGCGAGTCGCGACCACCTGGGCATGTTAAACCAATACTCAGCTAACCCGGCTGAATCCATATCATACCTCCTGCATCGAGGTCCTGTCCAGAATGAGACCTGCCAAATGGTCTCTCTTTATCTCTCTTTATTCAGCCTCCTCAGACCATTCCTAGTCAACATGTTAACCAATGAGGCCAGACAAAGTCCGTCATATACATATTGCACTTCCGGTCACCTATCTGACTTGACGCCTCTACTCGAGAGTCGTGGGTAGTCAAACCTTGCCTACCGTGACCACTGACCCAGAGAGCCAACTGCCAACTGGCTCAAATCAATTTGCCACACTCATAACTATCTCCACATGCTCCCTAAACTACTACTGCTGCCAGTACATAAGAGAGAGAGAGAGAGAGACTTAACCTAATGTTTACACGATAATCTGGGTACAACATATGTAATTTCTGTGGGGAGCCCCTACGGCTCCCTGGAGCTTATCGGTCCAATGTATGTTATGTTAGACCGGGACATTAGCTATGGAGTTTAGACCTACCAGGGACCAGCGCCAGAACCTGGCCCCTTCAGAGAGGTTTCAGGGAACAATGGCCTTGGAAAACCCCATTATGGTTGGGGGTTTTTCTTATCTGCCATCGACCGGGGTTAGGCACCCAGAAAGGTAGGCGTAACAAAACAAACTCCACATGGTAAGAAACTACAACAAAAAAACGAACAGAGAGGTAGAAACTCCCTACAATCCCAAGGAAACAATCAATCAATTTACTGCTGCGCCGGTCGTCCGTGCAGCCCTCCTTTCCCAGGGAGGGGGAGGGGGTCCCGGACCTCACCACGCCGGCTGCCTTCAGTTCGTAAGCTAGTGTCAACCGGGATAGATGCTTCTCTGGCCTCAAATTCCTGGGCGGTATTTGCCACATGTGGCATTCTCTGCTGTCTTTGTGTGGTGTGCGGTGGCCAGGAGTACTTCATCAGTGCCGGGGCTGCATGCGCTTAGGGGTTTCCTTCCCTAGGCGCCCTGTGAGTACTGCCCCTGCGTGTCAGGGTTATCTTCCCTGGGACATTTGGGAACCGCTTCCGTAGGGGTTCTTGCTGTTCAGCATTTGCCTCACCCTTGGGGCCAGCTGGGGCTTGGGGCCCTTGTTTGGCCTTGGGTAGGGAGTGGTATTGTGCTGGTTAGGGCGTAAAGGTGTTGCGCGGCCTGCCACCTAATCGGCGACCGGTTCCTGTTGCCTCTGGGGATGGTGTACTTTTGCGGGGTTTTTCTTTTTTGTTTTGATTTTGTTTGCCTGTTGGAGGTTCTGCCTCGTGGGTCTATAGTTCCCCTGATATTGTTTTGGTGGCCCTCTGCTAGACCCCCGTGCTTGTACACGTCCCAGGGGTTTTCAGTATTATCATCTACCCCTTGTTTTGTTTGGGTTTCTTAACCGGTTAGCAACACCTTGCTCGGGCTTCCTGTAGTTGTTACCCTACAGGCCCTGGAAACCCCTGTTGGGGCTTAGTGGACCCATGGATGCGTCTCCCAAGTTCCAGCCTGCCTTGTGCGGGTTTGAAGGTTGCAGTGTGCCCTTGTCTCAGGGTGACAGTCACCTGTTTTGCCTCCGTCATGCTGCCTGTTGGGTCAATGACACCTTTGACCCGGAGTCTTGCAAGGCATGTTCTCTGCTTGTGCTCCAGTTTTACTCTGAGGATGTTCCTATTAGGGTACAGGTAGCATCAACATTGCATGTTAGGTTTAGGTTATTGCAACGCGCTAGGTTGGTTTCCCACCCGGATGCTCCGAGGCTATCCCGTTTTGGTTTTAGGGACCCTGACCTGGGGGCGTTAGTTGCTTTGGCTCCTGCCGCACCCCCTGGTCCTTCCCCTGGGGTTCTTCCTGCATCCCCCCCTCCTGTGTCCGGCTCCAAAACGTCCGAGGGTTTTGGCCTCGGCTCAGGGTTTAGTTGGTAATGAGACTCGGGCAGCCTTGGGGGCTGCCCCATCCAAGTCGAGGACGGAGGCATTTGAGCCGGTTCCTCCTGCCGAGGCTTCTGGGTCCCACCAGCAGACCCCCTTCTTGTCTGCCTTTCCTTTGGATTCTGCCTTTTCTTCAGGGGTAGAGGGTTTGGAGGATAGCTCTGCCCCGGGTCCCGACGTGGGGGATCCTGGGGCTGGGGAGGAGTCAACCTGGGGGCCTTGGGCCCCCTTTGACCCCGCTTGGGTGCTTTTGCCTTCCTCACAGGGCTTATTGTTGCAGGGGGAGGGATTTTCTTAACCCCCTTCCCAATATGAGTATGATTTGGGTTCGGCTCCTTCCTGGGTTCGGTTCCGGGAGCCTTTGGGTACCTCAGATCCATCTTTCCAGAGGTTTTCTACTTCCCGAGCCACCTCCGTGAAGATACGGGAAGCTCTTGCTGCATACCTCTTGCGAGATCCGGGTTATGCCTCTGCAATGGATCCATCCTCGTTTGAGTTCAGTTCTTCCCATTTTTGGGTGTGTTTGGAGGTTCCGGAGTCTTCCTGGCTGGCAGACTGCCCTTTCTTTTCGTTGGGGGCATGGCATGCGTTCTGTCGGACCCGTACGCTTGATTGGCGGGAAACTTCTACTTTTATACAGGTTTACCTGGGGGGCGAGTTTGAGCACCTTAATGCGTGCTTGTTCGCTCCCGTGCTTTCTCAGGATGTTGGCCTTTTCCAGCTTCACGTGCAGGTTCCTCAGCTTTCGGTTTCGTTGGTTGCGGAGGAGTCGCACGCCCGTGGGCATTAGGCTTCGGTTTTACATTTCTTTTCCCTTCTCGAGCTGTCTTCTGCTTGGCTTGAGGAGGATGTAGGAGTGTTGAGTGAAGGGCCTTCGTCCGGGGCGCTGACTTCGGCAGCTAGGGCGTCGGCTGCACTGTTAAAGCTCTTTGCGCCCATCCTGAAGGAAGCGGTGTCTCCGTTTTTTGCTTCTCGCCTCTTTTGTTAGAGCCGGGTGTCTGGATGGTGTCCCTGGACCTCAAGGACGCCTATTGGCACGTTCCTATTCATCCGAAGTTCAGGGACTGGTTAGGTTTCGTGGTGGGGCATCACGCCAACTGTTTTCGATGCCTACCTTTTGGCTTGAATCTGGCACCTCACATTTTCACGCATCTGACCCGGGTTGTGGTGACCCATCTGCGTCTTCTAGGGATTCGGGTTTTGGCCTACCTCGACGACTGGCTGGTGTGGGCTCCCAGTCGGTCAGCTTGTCTGCTCGCCAGGGATATGGTTCTTTCCCAGCTCGCCAGGTTCGGGTTCCTGGTGAACTGGAGGAAGTCCCATCTGGTTCCGTCCCAGGTTCGGATCTGGCTGGGTCTTGTTTGGGATTCTCAGACCGCTTCCTTGTCTCTCCCTCCAGAGGCGTTGCAGCAGCTGCGGGACCGCCGTCGGCTGTTTCTGAGGGGGTCCCGGATCGACCATTCGCCTCCATTCGGACTGTTCTCCAGTGGTTCATTGCCTGAACCGCGGGGGTTCTCTTCGGTCCTTGGCTCTTTGGGGTTGGTCCCTACGAGTGGTTCGTCTGCTGGATTCTCGGGGTTTGACTCTCCGTGCGGTTCATGTCCGGGGAGTGTCCAACGTTCTGGCGGACGGTCTGTCTCGCTTCCATCCCCTGTCCACGAAGTGGACGGTCGACGACGACTCGTTTTGTTGGATCTGCCAGACGTACGGTCTCCCAGATGTGGACATCTTTGCGTCGGCGTGGTCTCGGCATCTCCCAATCTATGTGACGCCCTTCCCCAACTGCGAGGCATTCGCGGTGGATGCCTTTCGGCAGGATTGGTTGAGATGGGGTTACCTGTACTTCTTTTCCCCGGTCCAGCTGTTGCTTCGGGTTCTGGTTTGGTTGGAGACATTCCCAGGGAGAGTAGTCCTTGTGGCCCCTTGGTTTCCGGTGCTATTGGCTCGGTGCCCGAACCCAGGACGTTTCCCACGGCTCTGCCTCTTTCAGCAGGTAGGCCCGGTCCGGTACGGGGCTGGTTTGACCTGTCTTGGGCACATATTCGGGCGCATGGATTTTGAGAGAACCAGTAAAGGATACAGCGGAGGTAGACCCCAAGGTGACTTGTGGAAGGTGGCCCCAAGCCCCAAGGGCAGTACTTACAGGAACCTAGGGAAGATAGCCCTAGGCGCATGCAGCCTGAGTACTGTGGAATCGTACTCCTGGCTCACACCCCACCGGTAGAGACAGTCCACACCACAAGGCATAGAACTGAAACAAAAACCGGAGCCAGAGGCACTCGACCAGCCAGTAATCCCATCAGCCAAGAACTGCCATTTGGATTGCCGGCGTGGAAGGTCTGGGGCTCCCCCTTCCCCCTCCCGGGGAGGGGGGGGGGGTTGCGCAGACGGTGGCGCAGCGACGTGAAGAAGTCATGCTAGTTTGATAATTTTGTTTAGGGAGTTCTGTCCACTCGTTCGGCTTTCGGTAGCAATATTTTCACCAGAATAGGTTTTTTTTTGGGGGACGCCTCGTAGGCCTCGGAATAGGGATAGGAATAGGGCCTCGTAGCCTGGTGGATAGCGCACAGGACTCTTAATTCTGTGGCGCGGGTTCAATTCCCGCAAGAGGCAGAAACAAATGGGCAAAGTTTCTTTCACCCTAAATGCCCCTGTTACCTAGCAGTAAATAGGTACCTGGGAGTTAGTCAGCTGTCACGGGCTGCTTCCTGGGGGTGGAGGCCTGGTCGAGGACCGGGCCGCGGGGACACTAAAGCCCCGAAATCATCTCAAGATAACCTCAAGATAAGATAACGCCTACCTTTCTGCGTGCCTATCCTGGTCAATGGCAGACATAGAATGCTCCCAACCACAAGGGGGTTTGTATAGGCCATTGCTCCTCGTGCCTCTCTGAGGGGGCCAGGTTCTGGCTCGTGGTCCCCGGTAGGCAAGAACTCCTAGCACTTTGATGCCAGGAAGTTATACATATCCATTCAGCCTGGATAGCTCTGCTGATCCGACGGGGCTGCCCCCAGAAAAGATGTTGAAGGTTCTCCCCAATTCAATATTGATGAAGATGAAATTGAAAAGGATGATTTTGTTGTTTCACTTAATGTAGAAATATCAAGGTAAGTAGCATTAGTAGGCTTTATTATGTCATTAATTTCAGTGTTACTATTTATATATTCATAAACTGCTGGAGGATTATTAGTAATACACACATAATATATTGTTAAGATTATTTTTTTTAGATGTATATCTGTAAAATCTATATATTTTTGTTGTTGTTCATGTTCCTTTTTTTGTTTTTCTTGTGTAAAACTAAAAATTTAGTTGCCAACCCTACCATGACCACCTCTACAGTGGACACTTTACACCATCTTCCAGTTTTTACACTACAGTTGTTTGTCCATATTTGAGGCTTGTGGTCACATAGTCACATAGAGGTTACATCTGGTCACACATAGGTTCTGGTTACATATAGGTACAGTACTTGAGAATTAGTGGACTGTTGTAGGACATTTTCTGAAGGTCAGTCATTGGCTGTGGGGACGTTGATAAGCTTACCTTGAAGTTACAGTACCTTGAGATGGTTTCGGGGCTTAGCGTCCTCGCGACCCGGTCCTCGACCAGTCCTCATTGTAGTTGGACTGGTCAACCAGGCTGTTGGACTCGACTGCTAACAGTTTTCTGTTGCTTCAAAAGCAACTTCACAAGCATTTTGTCCTCAACAGTGGAAAAACATCTCTCGATTGCTTATAATCTAACATGCATACAGTATTTCTATTCTTTTTATTGAAATTATTATAATATATTTTAATATTTGACAGATTTCCGTGTGCTACAACAACAAAACTTCTGATTGCGTGTGGTGCCGATGTCAATAGTATGGACAATAACCGCAATACTCCACTGCACCTCATAGTACCATACCAGAAGCCAATCAGGTGATATTTTGATTTTGTAAATTTTGTAAATTTTGTAAAAATTTTGTAAATATTAGATTTTGTAAATTCAAATACTTTTGAATGTATTTGTTTATTTCAGTTTAATTTCTAGTGCCATGTCTTGCCAGTATGGTCGTGTAAATAACTTGGGTGATAACTAAATTTCAAGGGCAGTTGTAGGAAGTAAGTTGAGAGAAGCTTCCTCATCTAGACAGGAAGTACTGGATCAGAAGGAGGGGAAAGATCTAGTTCCTTATGCAGATGATGAGTCACAATAATGCGTCTTGAAGATATGAGAACTAAACCACACACCAGAAGATTTGCAGATGGCGACATTTTGGTCCATCCTGGACATTATCAAGTCGATTGTGATGCTGGCGAGGATGTCATCATACTCAATCGACTTGATAATGGTTCAGGACAGACCGAAACATCATCTCCTCATCTTTTGGTGTGTGGTTTAGTTCTCATGTCTAGTTCTCTACGCCCTGCCTCCTAACTCTTTATATGGGAGTGAGGTCTAGTTCCTTATGCCCTGCCTCCTAGCCTTTATAGGGGAAAAGTGAGGTCTAGTTCATCATGCCCCACCACCTAGCCATTCATATCTGGCATGCTAATTATTCCTTGTAGCATCAGAGTGTTCAGTGAAGGATTGGTTGTACTATACCTGTAGTGCATTGATCACAATAGTTGGTTTACAACCAAAATGATCTTAGGTTTGATTCCAGCAAAGGATTAGGATGTTTGGCATGTTTCCTTTTACCTGATATGTCTGTTCACCTAATAGTATATAGGTACAGTACTTGGGAGCTAGGCAACTGTTATGGGTTGCATCCTAGGGAAGGTCAGCTGTTGGCCTAGGTGGACCAAACAGCTCTCCTGCCTCTGACAACAGAAAACTGACAAAATCATACGGATGTGAAATGCCGGTGTAGTATGAGCATGGTAAACTTGGTGCAACAGAGATCAATAATTCCACAATGTAAAAATTGTTGTCCCTGGGGTAGTGTTATTTTCTGATTGTTTATACCTCCAAATATAGAAAATACTACACAGGAAAAGTATAATTGTTACATAGTATTATTTGAAAAGCACATGTGGGGTTCAGATGATCGGTGGAATTATAATTTGATTGGTATCAACCCACAATTGAAAAAAAAAGAAATGATGATGTTTTGGTCCATCCTGGACCATTATCAAGTCGTTAAATATAAACTATTTAGCTATGTTATTGTGACTCATCGTCTGAATTACAGAATGGTAAAATCATGGAAAATGTGGGTGGGAAGAAAATCTTGGGAGCAGGATGGTGATTGAACCAGCGTCTTGGGTTACCCAAGATGCACGTCTTGACCTACGGACCACACTGGTTTGATCCCTATCCTGCCCCAAAGATATTCTCATAGATATAAGTATGTACAGTATCACATTATTGTGATTTCCTTGTGTATGTGGATGAGAAAGCTGGTTAGTTAGATTGAGTGTAAGTTGAGTTGGTTTTGTCGTATTGAATGAATAGTTGATGATAGTAGGGTGTATTTGAGAAAATTTGAAGTGAGGAGGGCAAAGATGATTATCAAATAAGGTAAATGAGAGTGTGAAGAGGTTTAAAGTATATGAAGAATACACAAGAAGGAGAAGAGACCAGGGCAGAGCAGAAGTAGTTTGTGAAGAGAAAATTCATGTTTTATAGTTTTTGAATAATATAAAGTTGAGCACATGTGAGTTTATCTATGAAGTGGTGTTTGTTGTTTGTTTATTCAACTCTTACCTAATATGTCACATTTTTACCGGAATCAACCAATTAGTTAAAAATTTGATCTGTTAGTAATGATGGAAGTGGGTTTTGTGAACTATGAATACGCTAGTTTTGGGAACTACATATACGCTAGTTTTGGGAACTACATATACGCTAGTTTTGGGAACTAGGTACACACTGGTGCTGGGAGCTAGGTACACACACTGGTGCTGGGAGCTAGGTACACACTGGTGCTGGGAGCTAGGTACACACACTGGTGCTGGGAGCTAGGTACACACACTGGTGCTGGGAGCTAGGTACAAACACTGGTGCTGGGAGCTAGGTACACACTGGTACTGGGAGCTAGGTACACACACTGGTGCTGGGAGCTAGGTACACACACACTGGTGCTGGGAGCTAGGTACACACACACTGGTGCTGGGAGCTAGGTACACACACTGGTGCTGGGAGCTAGGTACACACACTGGTGCTGGGAGCTAGGTACACACTGGTGCTGGGAGCTAGGTACACACTGGTGCTGGGAGCTAGGTACACACACTGGTGCTGGGAGCTAGGTACACACACTGGTGCTGGGAGCTAGGTACACACACTGGTGCTGGGAGCTAGGTACACACACTGGTGCTGGGAGCTAGGTACACACACTGGTGCTGGGAGCAAGGTACACACACTGGTGCTGGGAGCTAGGTACACACACTGGTGCTGGGAGCTAGGTACACACACTGGTGCTGGGAGCTAGGGACACACACACTGGTGCTGGGAGCTAGGGACACACACACTGGTGCTGGGAGCTAGGGACACACACACTGGTGCTGGGAGCTAGGTACACACACTGGTGCTGGGAGCTAGGTACACACTGGTACTGGGAGCTAGGTACACACACTGGTGCTGGGAGCTAGGTACACACACTGGTGCTGGGAGCTAGGTACACACACTGGTGCTGGGAGCTAGGTACACACACTGGTGCTGGGAGCTAGGTACACACACTGGTGCTGGGAGCTAGGTACACACACTGGTGCTGGGAGCTAGGTACACACACTGGTGCTGGGAGCTAGGTACACACACTGGTGCTGGGAGCTAGGTACACACACTGGTGCTGGGAGCTAGGTACACACACTGGTGCTGGGAGCTAGGTACACACACTGGTGCTGGGAGCTAGGTACACACATTGGTGCTGGGAGCTAGGTACACACACTGGTGCTGGGAGCTAGGTACACACACTGGTGCTGGGAGCTAGGTACACACACTGGTGCTGGGAGCTAGGTACACACACTGGTGCTGGGAGCTAGGTACACACACTGGTGCTGGGAGCTAGGTACACACACACACTGGTGCTGGGAGCTAGGTACACACGCACACTGGTGCTGGGAGCTAGGTACACACACACACTGGTGCTGGGAGCTAGGTACACACACACACTGGTGCTGGGAGCTAGGTACACACACACACTGGTGCTGGGAGCTAGGTACACACACACACTGGTGCTGGGAGCTAGGTACACACACACACTGGTGCTGGGAGCTAGGTACACACACACACTGGTGCTGGGAGCTAGGTACACACACACACTGGTGCTGGGAGCTAGGTACACACACACTGGTGCTGGGAGCTAGGTACACACACACTGGTGCTGGGAGCTAGGTACACACACACTGGTGCTGGGAGCTAGGTACACACACACTGGTGCTGGGAGCTAGGTACACACACTGGTGCTGGGAACTAGGTACACACACTGGTGCTGGGAGCTAGGTACACACACTGGTGCTGGGAGCTAGGTACACACACACTGGTGCTGGGAGCTAGGTACACACACACTGGTGCTGGGAGCTAGGTACACACAAACTGGTGCTGGGAGCTAGGTACACACACACTGGTGCTGGGAGCTAGGTACACACACTGGTGCTGGGAACTAGGTACACACACTGGTGCTGGGAACTAGGTACACACTGGAATGTCATAGTGGACATACTTTATTCCTCTTTTCATACATTCATCACCCATCTTCAAGCAAATGTGTGTTCACCTCCCATAAAAATAGGAAACAGGGTAACGATGTGATGTTAATATACATTTTTCTGCAATTTCAGTGACTTCCTAACACTGCATAATATTATCATGGCACTTATAGAGAATGGAGCTCATATGGACACAGTCAACCAGATGGGAGCCACACCTTTTGATTCTGCAACAACTGGTATGTTCATTTTATTTTCTAACTTTGTTAGTACTATGGCTGTTGATAGTTTTTTTAATTCCTGCAGTGTGTAGCATAACAGGTTATACAAAACAGTGCAGACGAGGAATCACAATAGCGTGGCTGAAATATGTTGACCAGACCACACACTAGAAAGTGAAGGGACGACGATGTTTTGGTCCGTCCTGGACCATTCTCAAGTTGATTGTGAATATACAAAACACTCCCTTAGCTTTTTTCACCTTTGTATATTTGAATCGCATTTTTGGCCTGTCTGGCATACAAAGAAAACACAAAAATGGTGTTTATGTTGAGAAAGTGTCGAGCGTTTATTATAATAAAATGCCCTTTTCTTGTAGGCTGTTCAGTAGTTTCACCATTATAGTAACTCGGCCTGCAAGCCTTAAGAATGATGAACAGGAACTTGAGACCCGCTCTGAGACGACGGGAGCTTGGGAATCAGTGGCGAACCCAAAACTAAGAAAAAATCCACCTGAAACTATAAGAGCATCAAAACAAACAGCTACTTGAAGGAAATTATCAATTTGAGGAAAACAAGGCAAACGGTGAATGCTGCAGGGTAAAATACCTCATACATTATGCACTCGACTGCTACTAGATGGCAGCCTAGGTCATCCGGGGTCTTCACCAGCTGACTTTCACCTCATTCATGGGTCACCTGAATAGAAGCTTTAGCCACCCATGGGAAAAAAGGGAATGAGTTGAGGATGATGAGCTATGGAGTGTTCCATCAGAAAAGGACATTTCATTACATACTGTACTGTACATAGTTTGACTTCTGGGAAGACCCTCTCAATAACTGCCATAGCTTATTCACAAGGAGGTTGGCTTTTTTTAAATAGAAGCAAAAGGTTAATAAAACAGAACAAAATGGATTGGGCTTAGTCATGGTAGAAGACATCAGGAGAAGCAAGCCAGGAGCAGACGAAGATCGACACCCTGGACCCAGATATTTGTCATGGACATATTGGCAAAGATAGCCGACAAAGCAACAAACTACAGCAGATCGTGAGATCAAGGATAAATCACTGACTGACTGAGCTGAACCATCTTCTAGACAACCTTGGCCTTGGAACGAGGAATATGAGAGACAAGGATAACAGACAGCATTGGCAAGCATAGCACAAGTAGTGAGAAAATGTCACTATCCCGTTTATTAGTCAGGTGCACTATTAGTGTGCCTGACAGCTGGATGGACAGCGCTTCGGATTCGTAGTCCTGAGGTCCCGGGTTCGATCTCCAGTGGAGGCGGAGACAAATGAGCAAAATGTTTTTTCGCCCTGATGCTCCTGTTCACCTAGCAGTAAATAGGTACCTGGGAGTTAGACAGCTGCTACAGGCTGCTTCCTGGGGAGTGTGTAACAAAAAGGAGGCCTGGTTGAGGACCGGGCCGCGGGGAGGCTAAGCCTCCCTGCGGGAGGCTTAGCAATCATCTTGTTAATCATCTCAAGATAACCTCAAGATAAGATCCCACAGATATGCGACTCAGAGTACAGTGCACATCTGGCCTGACAATCCTGGGATAACACCTGGGGATAGTCAAGTAGGATGGGGCAGGGGATGCTCAACAATTGACAACTATTATATGCCTTGTTTTACTAATTTTGTTTCTGTTGAGCATTTGTTTTTATTTTTCTGGAATTTATGGATGATTTCCTCTATTTTTTCAATCCCTGATCCCCATTCTTCCCTTGCTTCTTTGAGTGAAGCAATTCTGGTACTTGTTCCTCATAGGCCTGCACAAGTCTTAAGGGTCTGGTACAATTCTAAATTATCAGGCCTGACTCTTAAGCTCTCAAAATATGCTCTCTTAAAATTGGAGATGCGAGGCATCGCTTAATATGTACATGGAAGTTACTGGAAGGAAAGGTCTCAATTTTTCAAAGTAAAATAACAACATACTGGAGAGAATGATATCATAGGAAATGCAGAATAGAGCCAGTAAAGAGTAGAGGTGCCAGAAGTACATTCACGGACAACTGTATAAACATCAGAGGTCCATGGCTATTTAATACCCTACCAAGCATAAGAAATATTGCTGGAACAAAAGTGGACTTTATCTAAAGAAAATTAGACACATTCCTACAATAAGTGCTGGACTTCAATCATGCTAGTAGTGGCTATGTGGCCCTGCAGGCACCTCAAAGCAACAGCCTGTTGGACCAAGTTATCACAAGTCAAGCCTGGCCCCAGGTCAGGCATGGGAAATAGAACAACTCCCAGAACCCAATCCAGGTATGATCTGTACGCTCTGTGGTACTAGCTCAGGGGTAACTATTGAGTAATCGTCCATGAAGAAGTATTTCATTACATTGAGTGCCTGATTTTTGGGCTACACAAGATGCAGATTTGATTCAAGTCTGATGCTTTATACAAGCTTATGTCTTGAAGCTTGGTGTTCACATAGATGAAGAGCAGAAACGGTCCTAGGACCAAGCCCTGTGAGGAACCACACTTTCCACCTCCTTTCAGCTCAACACATTCTCTTACTATGGTTCTTTCTTCAGTACTTCCCTGCCCAGTTCAGTGTCTTTCCAGTTATTCCTGTTTCTCTCTCCATCTTGTATATTAGTCACTTGTGAGAAATGAAAGCTTTCTGCAAGTCTGTTGTTAAAATGCAGCCTAACCCATCCTTCATTACAATGTCATATTTTATTAACCTTATCATTAAATTAAATTTGTATATTTTAAATGCATACCTTTTACTATGTATTACCTGAATGTGTAAACATACAGAAATATGTATTTGTATAATTTCCAGGGGGGAAATGCTTGTGGCTCCCTGAAGCTATTACAGTATATGGATAAAGTACCACACTACTAGATGCCATCAGTCGTGGAGGACCACAAGCCAGAACCTAGCCCTCTTTAGCCCCCCCCCCCCTGCCCCCCCTAACCCACAAGCCTAGCATCTAACAGGGAGCAGTGGCACTATGAATTTTTTTTATTTGTAAATTTATTCATGTCTGCCACCACCAAGGGAAGGCACCCAGACAGTTAACGAAACAAAACAGACCACTGCTTGGCTAAGATCAGACAGCAACCTCAAAAAAACAAAAAACAAAAAAAAACTCTCCTAACAATGTAAACAAATGATAAAAAATTCCTGAAACTAGCACAGAGCTATATCACCCCCCACCTGCCCCCCCCCCCTCATTTCGGGGAGAAGGGAGGCAGACTGGGTCAGCCGGTGGTTCTACCATCAGTTCTTACACAGATATAGACAGTGCTGGATGCTCTCTCATTTCACTCTGGCTCTTATTCTTCTGTCTTCAGCTAAGTTGTGTTTGCCTTTGAGGCTGTTCTTGTGAACATTTGTGTAGCATGAGCCAGGAGTTTAGTGTGCTTGCAATTGCACATGCTCAGGATTATCTTTTCTGGAGTCTTCAGGGTTTTCTTTCTTAACACTTTTGCCCGGGCATGACGCAGCATTGCGTCATCCGTTTACTGTCGGTAATACCGGGGATGACGCAGCATTGCGTCATCCACTTTAAATAATAGCCAAAAATCAGGTTTTTATCCGATTTTTTGGGGACTGGTTTTAAAATGTGCGCCGATGTCTTTCCATTTTCTTTGTTGAGCCTCGTGGCCCTCAGGTGGCTTGGCACATGCCGTGGGCTCATTGTTTTCGCTCCACTGTTGTGACCAATGTCGCCTCCCCTCGCATCTCAAACGTGTGAACATTTCGGCTATTTTCCGTGGCTATATTTCTTACTGCGGCTTTAGAAACTATCTACCCTTACTCCACGATGGATAGTGATCATGAACAAGGCCCTTCCAGGAAGAAAATTGCGAAAGAAAGGCTTGAAAAGGGAGGGAATTGGGAGTGTAGCTGGAAGGCGTCTGAGCACTCATTCCCGGCTAACGCGTGGCCAGTCTTCAACTCGTCGGCGGTTGGAGCGTGACCAGGTTTTATATTTTATATGCTAATGTTCTTCTAGAGAATTCTATTGCGAACCCATTGAGACCAAAATGAAAGACCTAGGACAAAAATTGAGGTGACCAGAGTGAAAATAGTGAAAACATTTTATCGCGTTTGCGCGCTCCTGGGTAACTCGTTCGCACTTTCTCTGTTTGCTGCGGGTAATTAGCCGGGCTTTTGGAGTTTATATGCATTTAGTGCTGTAGAGAATTCTATTGCGAACACAATGATACCAAATTTAATCTCGTAGGATGAGAATTAAGGTGACAAAGTTGAAGAGAGTATACACTTTTCAGAATTTACGCGCGCTCCCGTGACACCCTGGGTCCCATATCGCACTATTGAGGGGTGGCGTGCGGGGTGAGCGAAAGTGTTAAGGAGTCTCCTCGCATGTGGTGGCCCTCGCCGGTTCTCTGGGACTGTGTGTCTTTCTGCGTGTCGGCGATGGATTTTGGCTTGTTGGGCACACTGTGGTTTGTGTGACCTAGCTGGCATGCCAAGGTGGTCCCTGCAACTTGTATGCCTTGTTGGGTCTACAATTCTCCCTTGTTTACTCATTTTCCACAGTCTTGGACCTTGAAAGTTTTTCCTTGTTTTCATTTTTAGTCCTTTTGAGGACCAAAAGTAAAAACCAGTTAGTTTTTTGTTTCATTTATATCTGCAAATAGCTTGTCTTTTAGTTTCTTGGGGGTTTGGTTCTCCATGTGATTCACATTCACAATGTGTCTAAAATTCTCATGGATTTTGTTTTTTTACATGGGTGGATACAGGAACAGCCAAATGTTAGCAGGCTGAGAGCTTTCCCTTTCAGCTCATGGTATGCATTTCCCACTAAGTTGACCAGACCACACACTAGAAAGTGAAGGGACGACGACGTTTCAGTCCGTCATGGACCATTCTCAAGTCACAATTGACTTGAGAATGGTCCAGGACGGACTGAAACGTCGTCGTCCCTTCACTTTCTAGTGTGTGGTCTGGTCAACATACTTCAGCCATGTTATTGTGACTCATTGCCTTACCCACTAATTTTACCTGGAATGTGACCTGCCAATCATTTAACAACCAAGTACCCAATCACTGCTGGGTGAACAGAGGCATACAATTAAGGAATGGCACCTAGTCCGGCCTCCCCAGTCAGGATAGGAACCCAGGCCAAATTGCTCATTAGGTGTGAGGAGTGTGTGTTACCACTGCACCATGGGGACTCATTTCCATAAAGTTGGCTATCACTGACGTGTTCTTCCTTGTTTGCAGAATTGTTTGCTGCATTGGTTGTTTATTTTCTGTGAACCTTAGTTGTTTTGCCTTGCATTTTTGGGAGGGTTTGTTTCTCCGGTGAGGTTGATCATGAATCCCCTGCTTCCTGTGCCTTTGTGAGTAGGATGGGGAGCCAGGTATGCCCTCTGGTCTCCAGTAGGCTATTAAAGACTTGCAGGAGCTGATATGACTTCGTCAGATAGCTTGTCATATCACAAAAATTATGTACTAAATTACCCGAACATAACTTGAGGACCTGCTTATAGAAAATTTGGTTGATAGTGAGTTACTATGATTTATAGTACTACATCATATTTTGTTGGGGATTTTGACATCAAAATGTGATGTATTTTTTCGAAAGAACAGGTTGCTCAGTGCAGGGAGGGAGCCACTGAAGCCCCTATCTCCTCCAACACTCCCCCCCCCCCCACCCCTGGCAGAAAAAGGCATTTTATGTACATTTAATGCTGGTGTTTTAGGTCACTACTGATAATTCTTGCTAGGAGTGGTGGTTTTGAACAGGTGTATATTATAATCTTATTACTGTTAATATGATAAACTCGGTTAACTTGCATGTGCATCAACTATGAAGGTAGCCGACACTGTCACAGTAACATGGCTGAAAACTGAAAAACCATCCCTTAAATCTGAAACTAACGAAAGGGATGACATTTCAGTCCGTCCTGGACTGAAAAATGACGTCACTTCATTTATTTTTTCGTTTGGGTGTTTACTATCTTTTATTATCGCTACTTTTTAAAATAATGGCCTCAGGTAATTAAAGATAATGTTACATTCTAGTTTGAGTTAACATAGACTATTTAAAATTATTAAAAAATTTTGTACAGGTATTATGAAAGATGAGCAAGTGCAGAGAGCAAGTCACAATAATATGGCTGTGTGCTCAGAGCTACTAAACCCTACCAAATGAGGTGGCAGACATATTTGGAGAAAAAATGGTGAAAAAATCCTAGTTATTCTAATATACAAACTGCCAAATATTGAGGAATTCACAGAGCAGATAATGAAAATAGGGAATATCCTTGACAATCTGGCAAACTTAATGCCAGAAATCTTCTTTGGGGACTTTAACCTGCCATCTATGATGGCGAAGAGCAAACAATAATGTTACACCAGGAAATTGACTAGAAAATGACCAACCCAAAGTCAGAGAACTGCTTAAATTCTGTGACAAATTTTTACTCAACTAGCAGATAACAGAGCCAACTAGGAATGAAAATACTTAAGATCTAATCTTGACAAACGATTAAATAATTAGGGACATTACAATCTCGGATACTATTTATTCAGATCACAAGTTCATTGAAGTACAAATTAACATCAATACTCATTATATGTACAAAAATATTAAGTGAGTAGGGTATTCAATAAATTCAATTTTAATAAGAGGAGTGACTGGAAAACAATCAACAGAGCTTACAAACATTCATTGGGAAACCATCCTCAGAAACAAAACTCCCATGCCAGAAATATCACAATCACAAGTTGAGCCTGCCTCAGGCAGGACTCATTGAGTAGAAGAGTTCCTAAAACCGTCCTGAAAATGTGACAAGCTATCTGACTAAGTCATATCGGCTCCTGCAAGTCTTTAATAGCCTACTGGAGACCGAGAACATATCCTTTGCATGTTAAAGGCATGCTCCAGGTAAGGAATAGAACAATTCACTGAGTGAAGCATCTAAAGTCTGCTTGAAACATGTTCCTTTGTAGGTCAAAAAAAAAAAAAGAAACAGAACCAGCTTAGAAAAAATGCAGAAGACACTACAGAAGAAGGAAAAAGAAGGAAAATGCTTAAGTAGAAATGACTATCCCAAGGAAGAAAAACCTAAACTGGGAGATCGAAGAAACAGAGCAGAAGCTAAAGCAATCATTCCAGACTGAAGAAATGAAATTGGAACAGAAAACCATGCATCAGACAAAAAACAATCCAAAATATTTTTTAACATGTGCAAATTTAAAATTAAAAGCTTGCAATAGTAATGGACCTATACTTGCATGTGAAGATTAATATACAGAGGATGACAAGGAAGCCATTGAAATCCTAAGAAATCAACATGAGGTTAAGTTTAGTACCTGAATAAACAACATGAAAATGAAAGATCCGAACTGTTTCTTTATGAATAATATCAACCCGAACACTGCAAATATTGAGAGAGAAATTGGTAACATGCCCATGCACTAAGCCACAGGTTCAGACTCTTGGAATTTTATGTATACAGTATAAAAAAATGTAAAGTGCCAGTAGTGTGTGGAGAAAAACTTGGGCACGGGGGAGATACCAGAAGCTCTTTAACTCGGCAGATATAGCTTCCCTACACAGGGGTGGGAGCAAAGCACTGGCTAAAAACTATAAATCAGTCTACACAAACATCACCCATAATAAAAACTTTTGAAAGAGTGATCAGAAGTCAGATCTCCACTTCTATGGAAAACAATGACCATCACAAACCAGTTCAGCATGGATTTAGAGTGGGAAGATCTTCACACTCACTCAGCCACTATGTAAAAGATCTGAGAATAATGATGCCTGACGACCTAATGTTTAGGGAGCATAACCAAGCAAATATAACGTCAGTTAGAAAACCGATATAATGGATTATGAAAACCTTCAAATTCAGGGATCCCATCCCAATGCTTACATTATTCAAATCACTTTTACTGTCTCTATACAAGTACTGCTCGGTACTCACTTATTCCTTCAGAGCAGGAGAGATTGCTGAAATAGACTATAGAGAACATATATGGCATGCATAGACATGATAAAGCACCTAAATTATTGGGACTGCATCAAAGCACTCAAAATATACTTTCTGGAAAGGAGATGACAGAGCTATCACTTAATATATACATGGAAAATACTGGAAGGCCATCTTCTTGAGAGGTTATCTTGAGATGATTTCGGGGCTTTAGTGTCCCCGCGGCCCGGTCCTCGACCAGGCCTCCACCCCCAGGAAGCAGCCCGTGACAGCTGACTAACACCCAGGTACCTATTTTACTGCTATTTTACTGTGTAAATTTATGGCCATGCCATAAATTTACACAGTAAAATAACAGTCTAGAGTGAAGATATGGCAGGAAATGCATAATAGAACCAGTGAGGAGTAGAGGTGCCATAGTCACAATCAGAGGCACCAGTCAGTCAAGCCTGGCCTTGAGCCAGGCTTGGGGAGTAGAACAACTCCCAGAACCCCATCAAGCAGGTATCAAGCAGAGAGCACTGTACGAATATCAGAGGTCTATGGCTATTCAATACTCTCCCAACAAGTTTAAGAAGTATTGCTGGAACAAGAGTAGACTTAAAAAAATTACACGTTCCTGCAAGAGGTTCCTGACCAATTGGGTTGTAATGGATATGTAGGCCTGCAGTCTACTCCAAGCAAAAGCCTGTTGGACCAAGCTCTCACAAGTCAAGCCTGGCCTCAGGCCGGGCTTGCGGAGCAGAACTCCCAGAATCCTCTCCAGGCACAATCCAGATATACTGTACAAGAAATTAAATGAAAGTGACCTCGTTTAGGTCCATCCTGGACCCCTCATCAAGTCGTTGAGAGTATCTTAGATGTTGAAGGCGATTGTGACTTCTAATGAGATTACTTTAATCAAATTTCTAAAGAAAAAGTATGGTCTTGCAAGTTTAACTTAAGCTTGTAACTTTAAATTTGTGTACAGATTTGCATACCTGAGTCCTACAGATCATGACAATTTGATTACAAAAGTTTTAGGGAAGATGTGCAAGTGCTATTCTTACAAATTTTCTTTTGCAGGTGTGGCAGAGATCATTCTTAGAACTCAGAAAAAGTTGAGTCTCAAGTGTCTGGCAGCCAAGGCGGTTAAAATTAATGGGATCTTGTATAAGGGCCAAGTTCCTCGGCATTTAGAAGCTTTTATTGAACTACATGGTCCAGGTCATGTAGATGGACTCTCTAATAGACCCTGCAAAGGTGAACATAGGCTATGAAGACTCCATGTTATAAATGTGTAGATATTTAATTTTATCCATGTTATGAATGCTAATTTAAATTTAATATGTTAAATTTTTTTTTTTTTTTTTTTTTTTTTTTTTTACAAACTAACCAATAATTATGACAGAAGTTACCTATAAAATTGACTTGAGTGTTCCGGGCGAACACGAGTAATGACGGAAGATGTCGAGACAGTATTACAGCACACACACTGATGCACGGTGTTGCGTGATGGCAGTTGAGAGACTGGTCTGTTTTGTTATCACACTTGTACATATATACCTGCAGATATTGGTAATAAAGCTTTTGTGTATTTTGCCTTTCATTTCATTGTTAGTTGGGGGTTGCCCTTTCAATAATTTATCAATTGTGTGTGTTTATGAATTTGCCACTCATGCATAAATGGGCTTAACTAGGTTACCAAGATGGGGTAAGTCTTACCTGTCTTGATTGTCTTAAGACACTTCTCTAATAAGGAAGACCAGTCGATTGGAAGTTTGTACCCGCTTCTCTAACCATTCTTTGTATGGCACCTCGTGACACAGGGTAGCCTCCCATCTTCTGATACAGAAACATGGTGATCAAAACTCCTGCGTAACGATGAGCCGTTATGTTTTGCTCAGAACAGGTCTTCCTCAGCCTATAAACTAACTTATTACAGCCGAGGAAGGATTCGGGGTGTTGGGTGGGGACAGAGGTGGTTGATGTAATATCAAAAGTTGTCTAGTTCACGTATTAACTAACCACCAGCAACTTGCCGGTAGCTCCTTCGTTCGTCCACCGAGAAACCTGCGTGGTAATGAGCTGGCAGTTTGGTATACAGTATTATTTTCACTTAAAAACATGTTAATGGCAGTGTCACTGTCATATAGTGAGCAATTTATTATTCAATTTCAATCTATTTATAATATTTGTTTTTCCACTAACAGTTTGCATGTATGTGAGCTGGATGTTGATACTTTTTAACAAAAATAATAATATATTGAATAGAAAGTTAATATTGTATAATATATTATTACATTTTTCCTGGTTGGGGGAACCCCTTGTGACTTCCTGAAGTTATATGCTGTGATGGTTACCATCTATTGGGCCGTAGAGCTCTAGAGGCCCACTGGGGACTGGAGCCAGAACCCGGCCTCCTCAGAGGTACAGGGAGAAGTGGCATTTACTTTTGCCACCTCACTGAAGAAGACAACCAGAAAGTTAGAGCTGGAACAAACTGCTGCTGGATTAAAGAGACCGAAGTCTCAAAACTGGCGGAATGAACTCTCCCCAACTCTGTAAATGTGATCAAATTTTCTCGGAACTACCTCGAGCTTGTTTGCCCTCCCCCCCTTTCCCAACCTGTTTGGGGGGAAGGGGGTAAATAGCTCATTGCCTGCCAGGGCCTGAGCTCCCAGTTGTAGTGCTGATGTAGAGGTTACTGGGTTACCACTCTTCCATATTGGCTCCTGTGTTCTATTATTCAGTGGTGCGATGTTTACCGGTTGGGAGTGACATTCACTGGTGTCTGGCTTGGTTTACCCTTCAGGCTCTGGAAATCCCCAGCAGGTTTGGTGGTCCCATGGATATTCCCCTGAACCTCCTCTCACTTATGCAAGTTTGAGGGTTCGTCATTCATGCTATGGAGCAACGATCACTTTCTGCTTCTGCCATGCTGAATGTTGGGTCAGTGACACCTTTCACCTTGACACCCTGAGACTTGAGGTTTGTTCTTCCCATGTGGCTCTTCTTTCTGACCCTCCTTATGAAGTTAGGGCCTATCAGGCAGTGACCACAGTGCAGTTTGTTTTGCTACGTTGCAGCAGTCTAGGTTGTGTGCTCGACTGGATGCCCCTGAGCTACCCTGTTTGGAGGTTAGATACCCAGAATTGGAGGTGTTGTTGAACTCTACCTTGGCTCTGTCCATACCTCCTCTTCCTACCCCTTTGAGCATGGTTCACCCTTTCATCATCCCCCTCCTTGCTTCCAGCCCCTAAGTGTTCGAGGGTTTCAGGGTCAGGGCAGGGTTTAGCTCAGGAAGTAACTGTCGGCTCCGGGAAATGCCCCTTCCGAATCAGGCGAGTGGGCAGTTAAACCAGCAGGTCTTGCCAAGGCTTCTGGGGTCTTTCTTTCAGCTAGACCTGCCTTCCTTTGAAGCTTCTCACCTGGACTTAGTTTTTTCTATCTCGGATGGTGGGTGCAGATGCCAGCTTCACCCTTGGGCCCTCGATTGTGGCTTCTGGAGCTTGGGGGAAGTTTGATATGGGTCCCCTGGATCCTGTTCGACTCTGTGATTCCTTGTTCTCACTGAGCGGGTTCCTTTGGTGGGGAAGGGATTTTCACGTTCCCCTTCCCCAGTATGAATGTGATTTGAGTGTGGCTTTCCCAAGGTTCGTTTCCCTGTGCTTTTAGGCCAGTTGGGTTCATTCTCTGGAGGTTTCCTACCTCTTGTTTTGAGCATGTTCCTGCTCAAGAGGTGCTGTTTATGTACCTCCTGTAAGACCTGGAGTACACCTCATTGATGGACCCTGCCCCTCTTGAGTTTGGGTCTTTTCCTTTCTGGATTTATTATGAGGCTCTGGAGTCTTCCAGGCTGGCATGCAATGCATTATTTTCATTTGGTGCTAAGCATGGCTTTTGTTGGATTCACACGCTTGAGTGGCATGAGGTGTCACAATTTGATTCCACAATTTGTGGGCCTTTCAGGTTGTTTCCTGTGGCCTGCCGGAGGGTTGGTACCTTCCCCTTCACAGTGTTCGATTCTTTCTGGGCAAGCCTCCTTGCCTCCATTGAGTTATCTCAGAGTGGGTGGCTTCTTGTGTAGTCAAAATGACTGCATCGCTTCAGTTGGTTCCTGCCTCTTTCCAGTCCAGAAACGGGACTCGCTGGATCTCCAATTCATCCTCATCCTTTAGCAAATGAATTGGATCATTCCTTGCCCCTCATTCTGAATGACCACTCTATCCAAGTCTGTCTTGTATTACAGGTTGATTCTTTGATGATCTTCCAGGACCTCTGGAACACATTGGCATGTTCCTCTACATCCGAAGTTCAATTTTGTTGTGGGGCAGCAGGCTTTCCACTTTCGGGTTCTCCTGTTTGGGTTGAATCTGGTTCCACACGTGTACATTTGTTTAGATTAGGTTGTTGTGACTTGTCTTGGGGGTTTAAGTTTTGGTTAAGTTTTAGTTTACAACATACATCAGAAACAGGATGGGTCCAAGTACAGAGCCCTGTGGGACTCTGCTGGTGACATCTCATTACTCTGAGGTCTTCCCCCCCCCCAACCCCCCCTCTCACAGTAACTCACTGTTTTGTTTTGCTTAGCTACTCCTTTATCCACCAGAGCACCTTACCTGTTATTTCTGCCTGTTTCTCCAACTTTTGTAACAGCCTCTTATGGAGTACTCTGTCAAAGGCTTTCTGACAGTCTAAGAAAATATAGTCTGTCCACCCTACTCTTTCTTGCCTAATTTTTGTCACCTGGTCATAGAATTCTGTTAAGCTTGTGAGGCACAATTTACCATCCCTGAACCCACTCTGGTAGTGTGTTACAAACCACCTTCTCGATGTTCAAAGATGTTCTATGCCTGAACCAAAGAACAAAGATGTTCTGTCTGAACCTAGGCATTTTTCTATGGCTCCGCCTCTATCAGAAGGTCGGCTCGGTATGTACTTCTCTGGTTCGATCTCGGCTCTTCATGTCCAAAATTTTTTACACGTCTTTATTGCCATCTTTACAGAGAACACGTGGCCCCTTTGATGGTGTTCCACCTGCATTTTTCTTTTCGGCAGCATTACGAGGATTTATGGTGCTCTTTTCGCCTCTTTTTTTTTTTTTTTTTTTTTTTTTTTCCTTCGTTGCTGCTCTTCAGTTTCTGAGTGTGTGTGGTGCACTCACTTCTTTCTTGGATTTTCTTGATCAGCATCTCATGCCGAATACTGTGTCCTCATATTGTGCAGCTCTGGTAGAGCTGCTACAGCTTGCATTCAGTGGCAATACTACTGCGGCTCTGTTTTGCAAGCTGTCTCACGCCTTATTTCAGCTCTGGCCTGCACATATGCAACCTGAGCCTGCCTGATTTTTGGACTGTGTGCTTACATTTTTCTTTTTCTTCTCATTTCTCAGTGTCCCCTTCAGTCTGGGATTCATCTAAGGCTTTTGTTTTTTTGTTTCTCTTGCCTCTAGTTATCAGGTTGGGGAACTTCATGCTGTCCTACAAAAGGTGGAGTTTTTGTTCCTTTGGCCCTGGATGGCATTATGTTCATTTGTAACTGGCTGCTGCTTTTCTCGGAAAGAATGAGTCTGCTTCCGGAGGAGTTCTTTGGTTGTTGATACTTGGTTGGTTTGATTTGGGGGTGCATTGTGTGTTGTCTCCAGTGGCAGCTCTCCGCCACTACCTTTGTACAATTGATTCTTCTTGTTGAATGTCCTTTGGGTTGATCATATTTCCTTAGTCCCCTGTTACAAAGATTTCTCAGATCGTCTGCAGTGTTAAGTCTTGCCAGCCTGCGGTCAACACTTGTGCCCATGTTGTTAGAAATTATGCCACTCTTTTGGCTGTGTTTGCAAAAATATTCTGGGCTGATATTTGGGCTTCGGAGGTCAAACAAGTTCTGGTGGCCCAGTATTTAGTGAATGTTTCATGGCATTGGCTCTCTTGTGTGGCCTTGGGTCATGTCTCTTTGTTGGGAGTCTCATTCTCATCCTGATTTCTGCGGTGCTTCCTAATAAGTTCGCATGTTTTCTTCCTTCTAGTAGGGCAGTTAGCTTCAGGGAGCCACAAGGGGCTCCTCCTCAGAGAAGCAGCAATGAATGTAATGAAATGCCAATTTCTGGGTGAGCTCCAGTGGCCCCCCTATCCCTTCCCTCCATTCCAGGTCGTCAGGTGGACATCTACATTTGTCCTAGAACAAATGGGCAAAGCAGGCCCCAGCGGGCGGTGAACTACCTTTCCTCTTCCCCAAATAGGTGGAGGAGGTAGGGTAAACGAGCTCATGCTAGTTCCGAGAGAATTTGATTGCTTTACACAGTGGAGTTCTTTCAGCCAGTTTTGAGGCTCCAGTCAATTTTGAATCCAGCAGTAGGTACTTTTGACTTGACTTTTTGCTTGCCTTTGAGATGACAAAAATAAATGTCACCGTTCCCTGCACCTCGGTGAACGGTTCCAGGTTCTGGCCCCAGTCCCTAGTAGGCCTCTGGAATTCTACAGCTGATGTGACCTAGTTAATGGTCACCATCTCGACATATAACTAAAGGAAGATACTGGAGCTCACCCAGAAATTAATGTTTCATTACATACATCACTAATTTTTTAAAGATCTTAAAGG